AGTCACTGCAATTTCCGCTCCCTGAGTTGCCGTCACTCCGAGCAAGTTCCGCTTATTTCCGCTTGTCCAAATAGCTCTGTTGTCAATGTCATATGCAGTTCTTGTTGAATAACATTTAAAATGAATGCTCTTACTACCAGCGTGCAGCAGGATCAGTGAAAGGATTACGAAACATGCCTTGACACATTAAGCTGGTCGTTGTTGTTCTCTGTGTTAACAGTGTTTCCCCTAAATCGGGAACAGGTTATGTAAGTATCACCATCCTGGGGCAATAAAATCATCTTTAGTTGCGCCCATGTTTTTACTGCTAAAAGTGCACATTTAGCAGCCGGTTTCTTCACTGTAGAACCTACTGAGCAAGATGGTTATGAGCAGCCGTGTGTTCTGCGGGCTGCAGGTGAGTTGGTCTGCATAATTATCGCATGTACATCGACTGAGTACCGTATACAGTGGAATCTCCCGATCTTGAACACCCGCGGTACGTAATTTTTGTTCAGGGTTCAGAGGTGTTCACGGCTCAGAGGTGTTCAAACTCGGAGGTTTCATTGTACTATGCCACGCACGCTGCCGTTATTTTCCCGTAATGCTTTGTGAATAGCAAACATTTTCTAGGATCAGGATGTTCTGAAGGCTGCCATGTTCCTAACTGGCGCAGATTCAACCAGGATTTTGATATACACTTAAATGCGCATGATCCAATTGTTGCGGTATAACCCACAGTTTGCCACCTAGTTCTGTGATGCATTTCCGTTGACCGTTTAGTTTTCTCACATCCAAAACTTACGGCAACAGTATCACGAGTTGGGGTATAAGGAAATTGTGGTTCTCTATTAACACATTATAACACCCTGGAACGCCTAAAAAGCAGCCAGAACATGGGACGATTACCTGAACAGTGGCAACTGACGGCAGTCGGCAGTTGCATTTCATATGCATTTTTTTATAACGGGAATGTGTACGTTTTTGGTGCCACAATTTTTAACCAAGGGGTTAAACCATTGATTTTCGGAGTTGCTGTCTTGCCGTTGAGATGCCGATTTTTGCCGGTCACTTACGTTCAGTGTCTCTTGCACGCACACCGGTTGGCGGCGTTGGTAAACACATATATAGTTGCCGCATAGGCAAAGTTCGACTGTGAACTTTTCCATCCAGCGCCATGGCAACCTTGTTTAAAGAAACGACGACGATTTGACTGTTTGTCAATTACGCACGGGCGTAAAAAAGGCGGTGGCCAGCTGACAGCAGCCTTTGGAGGTGTCGAAATTCGTTTTGAAGAAAGTAGGGGGAGTAGTCCCAGGTGGTGACTGTAGCTTTAACGTAATGTGATGCGGTGCAGGTAGCAAGGGTAACTTTGTCGGTAACTCGCCGCGCCGCACTGTTGTTTACCAGCAGTTCGTAAATCGCACCGTCTCGAATTATACTTTATAATTTCTCGTATAGATAGCTGTTATCGCTTGAGTTAAACTACACTACAAATTTATTAAAGACTCTCGTCATTACCGGCCAGACTCAGGGTCTTATTATTCGAATTCAGAGTACTTCGATTACTGCCTTATTTGGGCTCCCCTTATATTACTCTCCGTTATCTGGACTCCCCAGCAATATGAGCAACCCTCTGCATGGGCGGTTACGTTATTACTCACACTTTCGCAGCTGCTATCAGTGCTATGACTAACTGAAAATTTTGATTTATTTAAAATACTTACTTTGCCAGTACTTTTGTAGCATTTAGTTTGTATCAAAGTGCTCAGGTTGCATCAACGACAGATTCAAAATCTTTTTAAAATCTGTATTTGTGACTTTTTGTCAAATGGAGTAATGGACAGTGAAGATGCGATTTTGTCTGCTGTGAAGTGCGTGCAAGATGGCCTATCGTCGTTAATCGTTAACCCTCCAGCGGGGGGGGGGGGGTACCCGATAGAGTGTCAGTTTCCTACGAGGAGGAGCTTCCTTGGCCCGATCAAAGCCAAATGCGCGACCATAAACCGATCACCCTGCCCGAGCATGTTAACACTGGGCCACGTGGGTGTGCAACACGGCTAGCCAGCCAGCGATGGCGGCGCAAAATGGCAGCACTCAGCACCAAAATCTAAACACTTCTGCTTCTGCACTCTTTTTCGAAACTTTCTTATTTTAAAAGATGAAGAGAAAAATAAAAATTCTAAAATTCTAAATAACAAAGCTATTCATAGCAAAAGAAGAAAATCATAGGTGATGAAATTTCTCGTAGGCAGAATAAACGGTCCCAAAGTAAGAACAGAAAACGCAGGCAGTCATGACTAACTTAGTTCAAGACAGGTAGTTTTTTTTATAGAAAAAGAACTTTCTGCTTTTTTCACGAATTTTTGGAATATTACATACTAAACAGGTTTTAAAAAGGGGAGATGGGACACAGGAAAGTGAAAAAACGCTTGTTTGAACTGGAAAGCTCAACGGCGCTTAAGTTCGGCTTCTTGCAGCTGCCGTCGCGGGGTGGAAAGACGTGTTGCACACATATGGAAACAGTGATCAGTTTATGGTCGCGTGTAGCCGGCAGGAAGGTTGACGGGTGGATGGTTGACGCTCAATGAAGGTCATCAACCTTTCTGATAAACCTTCTCTAAAGGTCATCAACCTTTCTGATCAACCTTTCCTAAAGGTCATCAACCATTCTGCAGAAGTTTTGCACCTTTTTGGCGAAAGTTATCCTCACAGCTGCTCAACATAATATTTATTAATTTTATCTTTCTGCTTGCTGTTTGGCTGTCTAAGCTTTCTCAACATTAACTTCTTATTTCTTAGCATTTTCTTTTCGGCATCTATTGTTTAAAAATGGGGCCATGGTGTGCAGTTGGTGACAGTCCGTCCGCATGAAATCACTTTGCGTCATAATAACATGCGCTCAAAGTAGCCGAAGCCATGCTGTGGGGACTGTCTTTTGCAAAATGTTCAGCTGTGCTTATAGAAAGACGTAACGAATAAGGTATTGGCACATCAGAGCGCAACACTTCAAACTTTAGGCGGAAGTCGCCGATGTCTTTATTTGGTTGTCGCGTCCGCTATTTGCGCACTTTATCCGTAACCATTTTCCCAACATTTGTGCTTAAGAACTAAAAAATTATGAACACTACTGCGTTCGGAATATTAAGGGAGACTCAAATGTGGGCGTCATTGCACTCCTAGCTTGAGTGAGGGTTGTTATGGTAGTCCACCTGTCTGTCGAAAGTCATAAACCTTTCTTTAAAGATCATCAACCATTCTGCAAAGTTTATCAACCTTTTAGAAAGTTCATCAACCTTTCTGCAAAGGTCATCAACCTTTTGTAACGGTCATCCACCTTCCTGCAAAGGTCATCAACCTTTCTGTAATGGTCTTCAACCTTTCTGAAAAAGGTCATCAACACTTCTGTAAAGGTCATCAACCTTTCTGTAAATGCCATCAACCGTTTCTGTAAAAGTCATTCTTTCGGTTTGCATATAAGCATCATAAGGAGCTTCACAAAAAATTGGCTTGCGGTCAGAGGTATCAGCCGGTTGAGATAGCGAAATTATCAGAAGAAAGGTCGTCTGTGATTTCTTGCTAAAAAACCATTAAGATACTGTAGCCACTAGATGGAATGGGACCACAGACTCTGGTGTACGGAATGTAGCGCACACGCTGCGAGACGTTCTGCGTAACGCGTGTGCTGTCCGGCAGGGGGCAGGGAACGGCCGGACCTAAAAGCGGTGTCATTTCATCCAGCATTTACAGTATTATTAGTAATACCTTGTTACAGATTACATCTGATCTTGATTACAGTTGCGTTTAATAATCGAGTGGCACTATTGCCACCCCTAACCCCCTCCGTTTTTTATAGCTACTCCTTTTTTGCACCCCGCTGATTACAGGCCCTCCGTTTTAAGTTAATTATGTCAGTTTTTCCGCTACAGTAAAAAAAGAGGAGTGCGTATAAAGAAACCGGGTGCTGTCATTAATGCAACAACCGGGTGCTGTCATTAATGCGTAACTTTTTATTTGCTTGCAGAAAAGTGGATTGGTCATATAAAGAAAAGTTATAGTCATTTTCCTTTCTCGTAGACAGACCATAGGATCTCTGCCTAGCTCTTCGCCGTTGATTATGTTTAAGCGCACGAAAGATCGCCGATATCGATAATTTCTTTTTATTTCTATGAATTGTCACTAACTTAGGCTTGAAAAATTTTTAATTTTTTCCACGTATATTAAATTGTTGTTTTAGCGTATTTGCTTCGCGCCATAAATTTCCACTTATTTGTAATCAAAAATATTGTAAATTTTTTCTCCATCTTTTAGTCTATTGGTTGAGTGATATTATTCCGTAATGCATGGGGGATGAGCGTTTGAAGTGAGCGAATGATGCGGATTTAACAGTAAGCGAATGCTGAGCTACGTAGAAAAATGTAATCGTGCGCAGGGGGGTCTACTAATGCAGACAGGTGGACGGAACGTGAAGGTGTATTCTGTAAGCGGTCGGAACGCGAGTAAAAGCGAAGTATTATTATTTATCACTCTGCCTCTATATCAATCAACTTTTTCATCTTCCCATTGAATTTTTCCTTTCTTAGGAATGTTAGGTGAACCTTACAGGTATGAGGCAGACGAGAAAGATGCCATCTACGTTGCCAACTAACTGTCCAGCTGGCTGTTTCCCCAGACTCGTGCGTCAAACTCCAGCTTTTTCTCTCATTCAGATCTCCGTAAAACCTTCTGATCAACATACCGAAAGGTGGAAAACCCTTTCAGAGGTTTTCCGGTACCCAGCAGGTTGCTGGTGGGAGCGTATAACGTAAACCAGAGCACTTTGAACACAGGAAAACACATTTTGGGTGTACGCAGAGAATCTATCTCACCGTAAGTCTATCGAAAATTATTCTCCTTTAAGTTTTTCGCCTCAAACAGCAATTTTTTCTGTACCAGAAAGCTTCTAAAGGTTTTCTCTACCTTTTGCAATGTTAAAAGTAAGGTTCGCCGAGATGTATGCAAGAGAAAAAGGCAGGAGCAGCACTACGGACTACGGCCCATAAGAAACGGTGCTTATATGCAGGACTGTAGCCCATTCAAACGGACCAAAGTCTATGGGCGACCGCCCATATACAGGGGGGTGCGGGTGGCAGTTACTTTTGGCAGTCAACCACCATGAGTATGCAGTTACTTACTACTGAATTGCCCAAATTCACAGCACGGTCGTACAATATTACACTGACATCCAACCACCTTCGCGTACGCAGTTACCAGCTTTTGCACATTTTCACAGCAGACTGGTGCGAATTTTCGCTAACGGCTCCTGTGAATTTTCGTTCTCAGTATTGCCGTAGCGTGGGGTCCACTATAAAACGATATGTACAATGCACTGCAGATTATCCCCAGTTTTTAAAGTACATACTATAACTGCTTTTATACGCAGCTTCACGTTTACTTTGCGTTGTATTAGTTGTATTCTGTTTGTTACATTATGTTTCGTTCACCTGTGTACACTGCTGTCAACATGTATGCCTACCTGTGGGACCAGCCTGATGATGCTAAGACCATCATCCTGGATGAGTTCCCTCTTGCCGATTTCCGTGACGTACCGCTCGCTCGCTTCACGGACCTGCAGTGCCTGTCCGCTAACGCCTGTGGATTGTCGTCTTTGCTTGGTCTGTCTACGTTGCCTAACCTGACGTACCTACAGCTCAACGACAACCAGTTGGGTTTCTACGCGGAGAACCCCCACTTTGAGATCCTGGCAACCGCGACACCAAACCTGAAGCGACTGACTTTAGCCAACAACGGGATTAGCAGCGTGGATTTCTTGGAGCCGCTGAAGAACTTGCCCACGCTCCATACCGTGGATTTGTACTGCAACAGCGTTAACCGGACCCACTCCCGTTACCTGATCCGCGCAATCCCACAGGTTATGCGATGGAGTGGAGACGATGGCGACGTGGATAGCGAGAGCGATGAAGAAATGAACGGTGAGTAGTTTTTGCTGCCGATCTTATTGTTTGCGCCGCTATCTTTGTATTATGTGAAATTTTAATTAGGAAATTTTATGAACATAGAGCCCGAGTCGGACCATGGCGAGGAGGAGGAGGAGGATGACGATGCGTCGATGGCTGGCTCAGGTATTTGTTTGATTTTTGACTCTGTATGTGACTTTGCTACAATTTCTTGCGGATACTTGCAGACCATACTTGGTTGCTGTCGGACGATGATGTGGACCACATCTCGGACTCTGCCTCGGAACCGGATTTGGATGAATTGACCTCGGAAGCGGACGCGGGTGAGATCCCGGACTCGGCCTCGGAACAAGACGGCGACAACCTGGAGAGCGACGACGACGTTGTTATGCTGAACTAGTTAGGTGTCTTATTTGCGTTATTCCTGTTTTCACCCCCTCGGGGACCCCCTCGGTAATCATACAACGGGTGTTATGTATTCTTTTCTTTGTTACTGCTTGTACGATTGTTTATTGCTCTGTTCCTGTTCTCACTCCCGGATAACTCCTCGGAAACCGTACACGGTCTTACGTGTTTTCTCTAATTGTTGCTTCTTATTTTTCTGTATTTATGTTATTGGTAGTACGTTGCGCTCGTACGTGTGAAGAAAAAGCAAAATGCGTAGCAGATGTTGCTGTGAAATTTCGGTTTTGCAAAAATATAAAATACGACCGCACAAAAAATTACTCGAAGTCAAATATCGGTAGTCTGAATTTCACTTCTGATATTTTTGCGGCCTCTGAAAATTGCTTTCGGTTAAATAATATCGATCAAAATCTTGCATTTGCAAATTTGACCTTTTCCAAAATGGATTACGATTTAACTGATGATGACCTCATTGACGCCGCAGCCTTGGCGGCACTTGATGATTGGATCTTTGATGACGGCTTAACTGATCAGGATATGCTTGATGCTGCCGAATTGGCCAGCATGGATGACTGGGTCGCCGAAGAACCTCAGGCGGGAGGAGGTTTACCGGATGACTTCCAGGTAGCGGAACATGTCGCAGTGGAGCCCAGGGGTCACCGGTTCTCCAAGACCCATAGTATGCACTTTAAGCTGTTTCGAATTAGTGTTCATGATCTGGAAGCTGTCAGCTTTATTGATGCTCCATCAATAATCGTGGCTGTGTTGGAATATATCCTTGATACAGTTTTAACGGGGGTGGCTCGTCATCAGTACGTGCGTGTATCGGTTGACTCGGCTCATCTGTCGTTTCCTATTTGGACACCACCAACGCTGCGATCCCAGTTGACCGTACAGCGCTGGATGGCAGAAATATCCAAAGTCCTGAATTCCCATCAAGAGTTCGTCATAGACGGATCTTTCGAAGTCTCGCTAGAACACACGGAAATCCCCTCGGGTCGCTGTGTCCGGGACGTTCCACCGATGCTGTACCAAAAGCTCCAGAAAATGAGGTCAGTTATCTTAATCAATAACGACGACGACATTTGCATGGCCCGCGCCTTAGTGATTGGCCGAGCTTTCGCGGATGGTGAGGAGGAGTATGCCAGACATATTGCCAAGGGTAAAAGGGAAATTCTTGCATTGTCAAAGGACCTTATTAAGAAAGCCGGTCTGCTTATGCGTGAATATTCCTTGGCGGACATTCCGGCTTTTGAGAAGGTGCTTCCCGGTTATCAGGTCGTGGTTGTCAGTACCATGCAGGCCAACAGCATTGTGTACAGCGGAAAGCATGAACAGAAGCATATCTGCCTTCTACTCCACAATCGCCATTTTGACGTGCTGACCTCCATGCCGGCATTTTTCAATCGCGGCTACTGGTGTTTTGGGTGCAACAAGGGATATAATGACCGACGAAACCATCGTTGTACTGGCCAATGCAACCAGTGTCTCCGTTCCAACTGCTCGATGGATACATCCAATATGTTGGCGTGCGGTGACTGCAATCGGAAATTTTATGGGCAGTCGTGTTTTGATCACCACAAACTGGGCCCCAGCGCTGATAAGCTGTTCCATAACCGACGAAGCATATGCAGCACGGTGAAGCTATGTATACTCTGCGGATCCATCCATTCCTTAATGAGAAGAAAACCAGGAGCCGTTCATCGGTGCGGAGAAAGTTTTTGTAGAACCTGCCGGGAGCACGTTGTAGGCGACCATCGCTGCTACATGAAACCACAAAAGCTGGGACCGTTTCAGAAGATGCAGTACGCCGATGCCCAGTTTTTATTCTTCGACTTTGAAACGTATGTTGCTGATGATGGACGACTGTACCCGAACCTTGCGGTAAGTCTGAATGACCATTTTGCTGAAGTAAGATGCACCCCCTCGGGGACCCCCTCGAAATTTTACTGGTGATTCAGGTTGTACAGAATGATGAAGGCGAGGAATGGATCTTTCCGCCAGAGGGGGAGCCCCTGGGCGACATTACCGATTCTCTTTGCCGATTCCTTTTCAGTGAAGATCATCGTGACCACATTGTTATTGCTCATAATTTCAAGGTAAACACTTTCAACGTTTTTTTCTGTCTGCCTTGAACCGGTAAAAACTTTGTAGGCTTTCGATGGATACTTTATTACTAATTGGCTGCTGAAGAATGGCATCATCCCCCGAGTGATTATGAATGGTGGCAAGATCATGCAGCTTGACGTGGTTCAACTGAATATTCGCTTCCGGGACAGCATCAATTATAATCCACAAAGCCTTTCCAAGTGGCCAGCAACATTTGGGATTGAAGACACGTCTAAAGGTTTGTTCCCACACCGCTTTAATCGACCAGAGAACTGGGATCAGGTCACAGAGTTCCCTTCCATGATGGAATACGGACATCAGTACATGAGCAAGAAAGATCGTGAGGCCTTTGAACAGTGGTACAAAGATGAAATCGCCGCCAAGCACAATACCTTTGACTTCCGAAAAGAGTTCGTGGATTACTGCAGCAATGATGTTACCGTCCTCCGCAAATGTTGTCTTCAGTTCCGGAACCTGTTTTTGGAAATTAGCAATGGAATCTGCCCATTTTTCTCCACGCTGACCATTGCTGGGCTATGCGGTCTGTACTGGCGCAGCAGTATCCTCAAAGCCAACCAGATAGGATTGATCCCACCACAGGGATACCATTCCAATCGCAACCAATCCGTCAAAGCGCTCAAGTGGCTGCAATGGATGGAGTTGGAAGAAAACTGCCAAATCCAGACGAGGGCATCGGGGGCAGAATTCAAGATCGGTCAGTACTTTGTGGATGGCTACTCTGCCGCAACGAATACAGTTTTTGAATTTCACGGTTGCTGGTTTCATGGATGTCCTGAATGCACTGCTCCTGACACGATCCATCCATTCAGAAATCTTGCGATGAGCAAGATTTACGAGGAAACCGTGCAGCGAGATGACTACATTCGCAGCCGGGGATACGGGCTCCATGTGATGTGGGAGCATGACTTCGACGGCCTTGTCAAAGAAGTGCCATGGTTTGCAGCTTACATTGAGGAAATTACCGTGTGCCAACCTATTAACCCTCGCGACGCGTTCTACGGCGGTCGGACAAACGCCACAAAACTTTTTCACAGTGTAACAGGAGAAGAAAAAATTCGGTATTTCGACGTCTGCAGCGAGTATCCTTATGTGAATAAGAACAAGCGGTATCCCATCGGCCACCCGACCATTATCGTCAAAGACTTCGACGCAGTGACGGATTATTTTGGGATCATGCACTGTGAAATTATTCCTCCGGCCGACCTGTATCTTCCAGTTCTCCCATACCGTAGTAATGGAAAACTCGTCTTTCCTCTTTGTCGGACTTGTGCGGAGACACAACAGAACGCACCGTGTGGACACTCTGAGAACGAAAGAGCACTCTCTGGCACATGGTGTAAGTAAAATTAAAATCCCCCTCGGTACCCCCTCGGTAAATGTTTCTTGCAGGTACACCGGAGATACATGCAGCTATTGATCGCGGCTACGTCGTGACAAGAGTTTTTGAAGTGTGGCACTTTGAGCAGACCGAAGAGAGATTATTCGCCGATTACATTGACCGTTTTCTCAAAATCAAGACCGAAGCAAGTGGATGGCCAGCTGATGTTGTCACAGACCAACAAAAGGACCAGTACCTGCGGGATTTCCATGACCACGAGGGAATTGAGTTGGACCGCGAGAAAGTGGAAAGTAACCCGGGCATGCGGTCACTTGCCAAACTGTGTCTTAACAGGTATTATATTTTTCATATGACCTCATTAAATATTAGTCATCATTGTTGCTTGTAGCTTTTGGGGACGCCTCGGTATGCAAGATAATAAGCCGAACACCAAGTACATTTCCTCTCCAGAAGAATTCTACAGGATGCTTCTTTCTGGAGAATACCACATTCAGTCGTGGGACATGTTCAGTGACGACGTTCTACAATTGGCGTATACAAAGGAGAACCTGTTTGTGGAGCAGAATCCGCATACCAACGTCGTCTTGGCCGCGTAGGTGTTTGCCCTTTTTGTACTTGCATTTGCTGGTCGAACTTTGATATTTTATCAGGTTTACTACCTGTTGGGCGCGGTTGCACCTTTATCGTTATATGGAACAAGTGCAGGACAGACTGTTGTACTTTGACACTGGTAAGATTTGAAAAGCCAGTTCTGCAAACATGTGAATTTGATATGGGTTTGCAGACTCCATAATTTTCGTGGATAAACCTGGATCACCAACGCCGCCGACTGGCAAATTCCTTGGCGACCTTACGGATGAGCTGCAGCCTGGTCAGTTCATTAGTCAGTTCGTCAGCCTGGGACCGAAGACGTACTCGTACAAGACCAACGATGGGAAGAGCGTTGTAAAGGTGAAAGGCTTCACGCTAAACGGGCACACCAGCGAGATCATCACCTTTGAGAAAATGGTGGACGTGTTGGAGAAGAAAACGGATTTTCTTGTTGCGGAATACCCTGACAGCATCCAGCGCGTTAAAAAATCTATGATTTTAAAACAAGTTGATCTGGCTAAACGGCTGAGTTTTACTTATGATAAACGTAGAATTGTTAATACTAATTGGAATACTCTGCCTTACGGGTACACCTCGCAGTAAATTGAAGGTCTGGTCAAATAAAGTCCGAAGCAAGCCGCGTTCATTTTATTGGTAACATTAACACCAGATCAATCATAGCCCATGTCAAATCGACTTCTGTCTTAGCACCTAAAAAGTTACATCGACCACTGGCGAATAAAATAGCCGTACATTCCGGCATCTTAATTCGTAAACCCAAAAAACGATCAGCGAAATATGGAACTTTAAGCTTCTTACTGACAGCATCGAGATCGAACCGCTGACCAAAGTCATGCGTGCCCACAATGTTGACCACCTTAAAGTCAGTGACACGACATACGTATCCGATTTTAGACAATAACCGTATAAAATATTCCAGAAGAGAACGCGATTCGACCAAATCCTTTCCGCCGTTCACGGTCACTTTACCGTTGACATACAGCTGACAATGCGCTTTAGGCGGTAGTATACGACGCAGGAGGAGCCCGGAAAAGGATCGAGGGGTGTATTGAGCCAATGGCAAGCGTTTTTCAATGTCATTCAAGTTCAGTTGGCAGTTCAGCTTTGCGGTGGCCACAACATTGGTGATCCGTACCATTCTTATGCAACCACAATCCGAAGATGAGAGCCTTTCGCTGGGTGGTTTGCGCCGCAGAAGTCAGTCGTCGAAACGTTGGACAATGATAGTCATCCAAGTTGATGACTTCCGGCAAGTACTTTTCCAGGAGGCGACACTTTTCCAACCCTTTGGCGTAGAAGGTAACGTCAGCTGGTCGTCCGGTTCTTTCAAAAATATCTTCAAACACTACCGCCGTCTGGTTGTAGCGATAGTCACCGTAGGTGTGCCAAATTAATCCATGAGAATGGCGCGCCTGCTTTTCCAAATCTTTCGCGCAATGAGAAGCACCGCGCGGTAGCGTAAAAGTATAAAGTCCCACTTCTCCTTTTTCAAGGCAGAAGAACGATAGCTGCTTCATGAACTTCTGTTGGTTAATCACAAACCAATCAGCATCAAGAACACACCTAAGAGCCATTTTTGAACTGAACCCACTGAACTTCATTAGCCGTACTCTTTTGTACTTTGGCGTGGATCCACGTTTGGACAAAATGCGTAGCTGAATGCTATGAAAAACGGGGTCAAAAAAGTCTTTTCGCGTACGTTCCGGTACAAAATTTCACTAAAACGCGCAGCAGAACGCTATGAAAAACTGGTGAAACATCCTTATTGCGCACGTACGAGTGCAAAGCTTTCCTGAAACTCACAGCAAGGTGCTGTGAAAAAACCTACTTACGAACTTTGCGCATGACGGACAACCCATAAAAAGCTCAAGCGAGTATAGATTGCTACGTTAGTTGTTAAGTATTTTTTTTCAATTTTCTCTAACAGCTTTCTCTGCATTAACACCATGGAGTTTATTCCCGATTTTATTTCGTCCGAGCGCACCATGTCCCCGAAGCCTTCAACCAGCGGAGCCGCCCGTGAGATTCCTGCTACGCCGCTGAAGCCACGAACATTTGCAAAGCGCCGCGCTCCGGAGATGGACGACGTCAAGCTGAACCTGGCCAAGAAGTTCAAAGAGGCAGAGGTCACCAAGCATCCCCGCCTTGCGTTCATCCATGAAGGTTCCAACGTGTACAAGATTGGTTTCGAGAAGTATGCGTACGCCCGCTTCCAGGACGGAGTCTCCGCCATCGTCATTGGTGAATGGAAGAAGCAGAGCGACGACACCTACCGCCGCACCCTAGAGAAGTCCATCACGGTCAAGAAACCCGGATTCATGCGTCTGTGTGCCCTGATTATGAGCGGTAAGGCCGACCTGGACAAGATTTCCCAGCTTAGCAGCGGTACCGACGGCAAGTTGACGCCCTTGTATGCCTTGGAAAGTGGACTGTACTTTGGATGGGGGCGCTACAACCGTGTCAACACGGCAACCGTCCGTCGTTATACACTTGGGAACAACGGGGACCTCATTCCGACTAAAGCGGGTGTGACCTTTGGACTCAAGACTTACGAAGGACTGAAGGAGCTGGTGGTGGACACGACGTTGCTGAAAGAGCTTTTTGCTGTGGACGAAGCCAACCACGTCCCAAAGACCTTAAAGTCCGCTCTGGCATACGACAAGTTGAAAGAAGTGAGTTCTCATTTCCCTGTTTTTGTACAGTGGTCCATGTGCATTGTTTTGTACAGGAAGTGGCTGAAGAATTCACGGAGCTCATCTACCAGATGCGTGGACGCAACGGCAAGATGGTGTGCGGAAGTGCCGACGATGACGAATGGGCTGCAGCTGAAAAAGCTATTCTGGAGTCGCGCTATGTGGAGGCTGTTCTGTTGGAAGCTGATCAAGTGTACATTGGGCAAGTTATTGGATTGGACGTTAAAGGGTATTTGGAACTTAATGCCCTGGAGTTTCGTGCCATGTTTGCTAAGCTCATTTAAGCGCTGTCCGTAATGTTTAGTTTTTTCTGTGTTCTCATTTGGGTCTTAATTCATTAAACGCGGTCAGTTTTTTTCTTTATTTTATTTCTGTAATGCGTTTACATATCTGACGGATAAATGCACCGTCAATCACTTTGGTATTTATGTCAAAAAATGAATTAACATACTGACAGACCATTTTGTCGTTGCTTGCTCGGTTATCGGTAAACAAATGCACAATATTGGTATAAGTCTCGCCGCTAACACGCCGAAGAATGAAAAACAAACAATACTGCCCACACACGGTAGAATATTCAGATTGAAATTGTTCGGACTGCTGTATAATCCGATTTGACGAAATCAAATGAGCAAAGTCTTTGGAATACGAATCCAGTTTCCTCCCAAACGAATCGAACACTTCCAAAATGCCATGTTCTCCTTGATAGAAAGCAATCCAGTGCGATCCGCCTTGGTCCGCTGGATCAATGTTGACCACCGCCGCTCCAGGGTAGGGCGAAAGTTCACTAGGCACTTCGTTGCTGGCGTAAACTCCACGTAGCACTGTCTTTGTAGCTGGATTTGACTGCAGTGCATTCAGGATCTGGTCGGTGTTCATGTTGAAAAGTCCGCAATCAACTGGCGATGCTGGTTTATTTCAATAATACTGTCGTACACCAACATGGCGACCATCATGACTGTTTTATCCAGAGGCTTCTCAAAGCTGACCGACACGCTTAAATTGCCTTGTTTCACCAAAGTGAGCGGTCCTCTTCCAGTATGTCCCGGTGTCAGGTCAAAGCCGAAGAATGTATAGCCATTGTTATAAGCGGTCCGATTGAAATTGACGCTGTTTTGAGGATGCGTTCGGTGGCCCAAGGTGTCCAGTAAGCCATCGTAGCACTCCAGCGACTGCGACCGTCCAAAGTCGGCAGTGTAAGGTTTTGTTGGATAGCTCTGACCGTCCACCTCCACACTGATCTGCGTGATGTTGAAATGTTGAAAGTTGAAGGGATTAGTCTTGAGGCTGCCGTGAAAATCATCGCTTTCCAGGAATCCGATAAACATTACTTTGGGAATCTGCCCGATTTGCAGGTTGCTCACCATGGTACTTTGGGTTTTTTGGGGAATATCCGACACCCGCATCACCACGCGCTCAATGTGATATTTGACAGTCTTTTTCAGCATCTCCGCGGCCACAGCCGTCATAAAGTCTGGTGCCGGAATGTATCGGCGGATGGACAAGCGCGCATTGCGAATGAATGGCTTGAACTGCTTGGTGGCATCGGTATCCCACGCTCGCAAACAAAATTCTGGCCGACTCATTACCAAGCGGATATTGATGGGCACGCCGGTGCACAGCGGTTTGCTTTGGTGAAACAGGTCCGAAAAGATTTTTCCAGAGAGTTGCACGTAGTTGCTGCCAGCAAACAAGGCCTTGCGATTAACTTCGCCTTTGTTGTCTTTTTCGTCATTCATCTTGGATGCATTGTCGGGGTAGAAAGCGGCTGATGTTAACTGGCTTTTTTGAGCATCTACCGAATAGCAGAGCGTCGAGTCCATGTATGCCCGATATGGATAAAACGTCGCGGCATCCGAAATCAGTCGATTGGCCACGGTAATGTGGCATCATGAAAACAGTGAGTGCAGAAAATTGTTGACGGGTGCCACATTGTCGGTATTGGTCATCAGCGCCCAATCAGCAATTCCTTTCTTTACTTTGATGCCAACCTCCAGTTCCAGAACCATATCCGCCAAGCTAAGCAGACCAGATGTGCTGGGCGGAATGTAGAAATTGATATCGCCCGCTGAGCCGTTATCTGTGAGAATCGTTGTTGGGTTCAGCTTTTCATGCTCGGTGCGCCAACGGTCGGTCAATGTGGCTGGTAGGGCAAAGAGCTGATTCTCCAATTGCATTGCCGGTTCGGAATTCTCCATCATGAGCAGGGCCATGGTTAAAAGTAATCCGGGATATTCGTCGGAGGAATGCGTTTAATGCGTTGTCGGTTGCGGACAACACGGCGTTTCTTACGGATACCACTTCCTTCTTGAGGTGCTAAGCGTTTACTGATGCTCTCTTTAGCTCTATCAGCGACCTCTTTAATGGCCCCGGTAGCAGCTTCTTGCAAATGGGGCGTGGCGGCATCCAACGCAGATTTGGCATGCGGTGCGGCCCGGCGAATTATAGGCTTGGCAAAAGACGATATTTTGGCGAACAAACTCTTGAGAATCTGTGGGAGGCCGGAACCGTTCTGCAGTGTGCCGCGGTATCGAATAAGGGCGCTTCCTCCTGTTTGGCTGACAAACACGTCGTCGTACCGCCGAGGATCAGGCACGTACTGTACAAACGGCATTTTCAATATAACCGCTGCGGGCGAAAGTGCAGCTTGACAAGCGATTTTCCTGTCTGGAACTTGGCTTCGTCTCCGAGATCGTTGGCAATAATCAGTTTAATGGTTTCAAAATGCTGCCGGAGAACAGGAACATAATGCGGAATGTCGAAACGTGCTTCAACAGTTTGATTCACTTCGCCTCTAATAGGTACGGCACGCAGAAATTGCGCCGCTGTGTCTCCGATCAAACTGTAGTCAGCCACGTCGCAGTAAACAAATAAGCTTTTTTTTCCCAGCAAAGTGTTGACAGGCCGGTCGGAAATGAACGTAGTTGCTTTCGGTGGCGGAGCTTTGTCCCAAAATGCTGAGTATTTAGCTCTTGCCTGACCTTGGGCGGTGTCAATGGATTCAGCAGAGACGTTCGGCTCGAATTGGTTCTGATCAAAACCCAGAATCTTTTGCAGGGTCAAAGATTCAGGCGGAAAGCTGACGGATACCCGGTCATTCCCAATGCTGAGTTTCACCTTATGATTGGTTGGCGTAAAGAACTGCACTTCAAACATTTTATTGTTCAGCAACGCACTCTTATCGTCAATCACTTTTCCGTCCAGTAAATACGTTTTTATGACAGGGGCCAGCGTGTTGATGGTTTGCAGAAGCAGCTCAGCGTTCTTGTAATTGCCCGGTGGCACAACAATGCTTTTTTGGGCAATGAGATATCTTGGGAAGTCGATAAATTCACCGTCTTTCTTCAAATAAAATTCTCGCACAACATCCAGTTGGATTTTCTGCTCAACGGGTAGTGTATAAAAAGAATTCAGATACTGCAGCTCCACCAGTGCCATTTCCACTTCCCTTTCAAGGTGATCGGATGTTTCAACTTGGTAGTCCAATTAGAAGGCGTGTTGGCAGGATCGCTAGCCATATCACTGGGCAGCGTTAGGTAGAATGGCGCACCTTCAAACATTTTTCATGTATCCACTGGTCGTGTTCCGGCCCGTATCCCAACCAACGCACTAGGACTTTTTTCCACGGCGCTTGACAATAAAATCCACAGTATGATCTTTGTCAGGAACGTTGCGCACCAGCGATAACTCGAATTCGTAAAACTTTCCGTCAATGGTGTTGTCTTGATAGTCTTTCAAAAGGTAGACCGGAACTGGGTGCGGAATGATTTGCTTGATAAAAAATATCTCCTCCTTAAATCGGTACGTGTATTCTTTTTCCACTTTGCCTTTCCGGATGGAAATACGCACCGCATCATCAACTTTGTACCGTGGTTTTTTTACTTTCACAGCCGGGTACATCTTGTTGTACACCAGCAACGAATTTTCCTGCTTGACATCGACGGGTCGCATTCCATGAGCGCTGTGCACCGAGTGATTGTACGAATGCACGAAATCCGACAATTTGTCAATGTACCGGGTGCTAACGCGGTAGCGAAATAGCCGGAAAATCCGTGATTTAATCGTTCGAATCACTCGTTCGGCCATGGCACATTTCACATCCTCGTTTTGCGAAGTAAAGAATTGCACGTCGTGTTCTTTGAGGTACGCCCGGACAGTTGCGTTTAACACTTCAGTACCCTTGTCGTATTGTAGCTTTTCTGGTCGACCCAATTCTTCAAAGGATTTCTGGAGAGCGTCACGTGTTTCTTCACCGGTCTTTGTCTTCAAGGCTTGGACGCTCAGCATTTTGGAGAAGCAGTCAATCACAAATAACAGATATTTAATGCCATCATTTTCCTTGAAGTATTTGGACAAATCGGCTAAATCAGCTTGGTACTGCTGCCGCAGATTGGTAACTATCACTGGATTGCGTGGAAATCGTTTCCGGCTTTCTTTGGTGACAGTGTATGCATCGATCTCTTGCAGCATCTCCTCGGCTTTCCGTTTGTTCGCTCTGGTCTTTAGTGTTCTTCGAAAGCGCTCGACGCCGCCAAAACTTCCGGGATGACGGGGGTCTAGGTATCTCTTCATCAAGAGATCCATCGTTGCAACAATTTGAAACACAGTTGATCTTGAAAAATCGGCACAACCGAATAACTGACGGCAAAAATCCAGACATTACGACAACGTTATCCAGTTAACTTTGCGTTTCATGCCTCCTTGCTGTTTACGTGACCGCAAGCGCGGAATGGGTATTGGTTCATCAGGCTTCTCTTTGGGTCGACTAGGTCGAGGTTTCTTTGGGGGTGATGGAGGTACTGGCGGTTGGTATTTAGGTGGTTCAACAGGATTTTCATCGGGCATCACTTTTTGTTTCAGAGCAAGGAAGCGTTCCAGTATACTAGATAGTTGACTGGCTTTCTCGTACTCGCTTATATCTTTTCGCTTTAGGGTTTCGGCAACTAAATTGTCTAATGAGACGACGGCTTTGGCTTCCGGAGGCTCGCGGTTGACTTGAATCTTCTCATGTAGTCGCTCCTCCATAACACGGCGAGGAACAATGAAATACTCATCCATTACCAATTAACGAGGTCAGTACACCGGCAATAACAGGTAGAATGGCACCCAAGAAACTGCCTTGCTGCAAAATCCGCTTTTTAGCTTTCATTGGGTACCGTCGCAGCGCTAACAGCTTTAATGCTTTGCGATGACGTTTGCACTTGTCGAGATCGGCGGACGACAGGCTGACGGTATTTTTGATGATGTTGACGGCAATCTCTTCCAAGGCTTTAAGCTGAGGTTTGTTGACAAATCCCATCAAGACGCGGCGCTGTTTTGGCTTCAGACCTTTTAAGGTAATTAAAAATGGGGCAAGGGCTTTCACGCGTTCCGACATGGTTTCGGTATATCGTTGGAATTGGCTTTAACAAATATCCGCATAGACTGTGTCGGAAGTGAGTGTGATCTCACCCTTAAATACTCCGGGCACATCGAACGCATATCAATAATAAGCGGTTCATACGGCTCGGATGTAACTTTGCGGTACGCCTCCGTCAGCTGATTGAGCCCAGTTTGGCGCGCGAGTAATTTAATTTGATTTATATCACGCACATTTTTGAATAAAACAAGATATTGGGAATTAAGCGTAATGTCTCTCATCGACTTTCCCTGCTTATAAAGGTTTTGCAACAGTAACACAACCGAAACGTTTTTATGATGAATGCCACGCGTGAACAGGTTTGAGCAGCGCACGTCTTTACAGATATCACTAGCCAGATCGTCAATAATCAACAACGTGTGCTGACTGGAATCAAAAAAATTCGGTGTTTCTAAAACCACCTCAATGCCTTTGACGAAATCAACAGAATCCTGCACTTCATCAAACGATTTTTGCCATTCACCATAACAGTACACAACTCGATCGGGAGACGGACAAATCATCTGCGCGCGGTTTTTAATTAAAGACAGCACAAACTGCGTTTTACCCGACATTGTCGGCCCACAAACACACATACCAAAGGGCGCTTGAAAGCGCGGGTGTTCTTTTAAAACGCTATACATGATAACAATGATGAAATAAAAAGAGATCCAATGTGCTTTAATACAAACAACACAAACTTTTACACTCAGGCTGCCGGGAACGGTGGACCTCCTCCGGATCGTCGCCTTTTTTCCAGTTGTCCACTACCAGTCTGCAGTATACGCACTCGGCTGTGTTCCCCCCATTCCATTGGAATCCAGCTGCAGCTAGTCGCACTGGATGGACGATCTCGGATTTCCAAGTATTCGGGTACTATGCCAAGCGCTCTTCGGTCGTTTTCATATCTTTGGGAGGTTGCAGAGCGTCCTCTTCGCAGCAGAAACATATGAAACCGTTGCTCGGGCCTTCCCGATCCCACAAATCTTTGACACGGTAACTGGTAGCGTTGGCTTTCTTCTCTAGGTCGCGAATCTGTTCAGTGGCATTCAGACCAAGACGACAGACAACCACAGGGCAATGAGGGCGGTAGCGGGCATGGTGAACGTCAACTTGTTCGTACGGTAGCAAATCCCTCAATCCCAGTCCGCAGTGGTAGCAGTGGATAAGGTTGGACCAGGTGTAGGAAAATCCCGCAGCAGCCATGTCATCCTTGGTCTGCGTGGTAAACAGCCAGTTCTTGACATGGTTAAAGCTGTTTAGACGGGCAAGGTAGTGCGCCATCCGAGGATTATTCGGAGCCATTTGTACTGTAAAAGAAAGTTCATCAAAGCACTGCCGTTGGGATCAACACAATCAAAACGCACATTCAGTTAGTACTCCTGCCAATATTGGTTCAGATCCCGAAGCTTCGCCGCGTACGCCGGTCGCAGGGCTTGCAAGTACCGACAGTCCGGATTGTATGTCGCGTGCTCCTTCCAGAAATCGTCACCCCAGTCGGCGGACGCCAGACGGTGACCGCAACAGAAACACTTGACGCAGAAACAACCCTGGTCGGGCACGTAGATGTAACCGGCTTCGGCCAACCGACGGGGAATACGGACGTGAGAATTAAACTTTTCAACTGGATATGTCAGCAAACGGCTTTCGACTGAGCTGTAGGCACATGTACCGTAAGACTCCATTGCATAAGAAACCTGAATACGAAAATTAAGATTCACTATGCCCGGATCAAGGATTTTATATCATCTCTGTGCAACGCATTTTAACTCTTTTTCACACGTTACTCCTGTGACAATTTTCTTTTCATACATTTAAGCCCACCCCCACAGCTCACTCATGTTGAATCGTGTTTACAAAAATCTTCAGCGATGGCTAACCTCCAAGCCATGATGCCGGACATGAATCGCCGTGAAAAGCGGCTGGAGAAAATTGTTGTCGCAGTTTTCTACTTTTTATTGTTTGCAATGTTTACGTTTTTCGTAATTTTGGATGCATTTGGAAAAGTACTCCAGACGGACCACTGGAACCAGACTGTCCGCAATATGACCACGGTAAGCCGAAACTGTTCATTGTTTTAAGAGAAACTAATGACTGTGCATTTTGCAGCATACTGGCGGGACGTGAAAGTCGACAACTTTCCAGAAGCAACTAGTTTAAGGTCATCTGCTGATATTTTATTGAGACTTTATGAATGCTTGTACTTGGAAAATACCCGAGGGGGTCCCCGAGGGGGTCGGTTGTTTAACAATAAAATGAGCGGCAAGCTGTCATGATTTATTCACATCTCTACTTTATGCAAAAATTGCTTCAATACTGTCGTTCGTAGATCCCATAACTGTCGCAAATTGTAATCTCTCAAAAAACTGGAATACTTGAACAAAATCCCATAGTAACAACCAGTAGGCAGTTGTTTAAGAAGCTGTTCTTTCACACGGAGTTGTAGATCCTGCTTCAAAAAGTCCGGCAGAAATAGCTGGATTTCGCGATTCAGTTCGACTATGTACTGGACCCAGAACCATATCGGCAATTCTGCAAAAACACGGAGATAAACATAATCAATAAGCAAAATCGTACATAACTCACCCGCCGAGCCGCGGTTCATGACCGACACAAAGCTGCTCAGTAGTGTAAGAAGCTTGTCGGGAGTCGCAAGCCGAAAGTTCTTGAAGACTTCCATGCGGATAGTGCGAAAGCAGTTGGCAGCGATCTCGATGCAGAATGTAACTTCTTTCTTTCCGGTGAGTTGTTTTCTGAAGCCCCCGCGCAAAGGTTTTCCGAGGACGTCCCACTGAAAGTCTGAAGATGGGCGCTTCTCCTGAACGGGATTCGGTGATGGATTTCGCGAATCAATTTTGCTCTGGTAGGACAGCATGTACTCCAAAAACGCTACGAATTGATCGCTGCTGATCTCCACGTTATCTCGGGGCGTTTCCAGGCGTACAGTGTGCGCTTCGTTTCGGTTGTCTCTCACAATATGCAGCAGCGAGGTCTTCCCAAACAGCATAGCACCCGCTACACTCACTCCCTCTACAAGACAATTAACTAGAGTAATAATCTCTACCGCGACGAGAAAACTAGACAAAACGGATCTGTCGTTATAGCAGCAAGACAAAACGTGTTTACGTACCGTCAGCAACAGGTGCTTCATTTGATGTTGGTCCCAATATGGCAAACAACTGATCCCACTGCATCCCGCTACCGACATCGGCGGCTGCTGCAGCAAACCCGGTCTGCAAGACTTCCACAGATTCCGGTAAATCATTAGTACCTGGAGAGCTTTCCGCGTTTTCAGCTAGTTCCGCGAACATTCGCTGCATGTCGAACGCATATTGCTGATCCGCATCTACGGGACTGTGATCAGATCTAGCTTCTGCCGTAAGAACGCTGTCGAGATCAAAATCGAAAAACGGTGGAAATTCAAATTCCTCCATAATTAACAAAAAAGATTCTGCAGGCAAGATGTAAAATGAATGATAGGAGCAAGATTCGATAACCGTTTCTCAAGATAGTGCATGGTGGGAGATGGATGGCGCTAGCTCCACCCACTTACCTGATCTGCTATTGTCTCGTTACGTCACATTAGTGACGGGCGCAATATCGAATTTAAAAGAGCGGGAGCGCCAACACCGCAATTTTATAGCGGAGTATAAGCACGAATACTTCATGGAATCTGATGAAGATTTGTTGTACAGTGATTCACAAATTATAACAGTATTTAAAACAACAGATACTTCATAATTAATTGGCGTATTATTGTTGTTAGTTGAAAAACATTTGAATTGTATCAATTTTCCTACGAAATTTCGTTATCTGGTTTTTCTGAATTACTACAGATGCACACTTTCCAAAAACCGAATTGACCTGTTGTTCTCTCACTTGAATTTCTGCTATTAACTTTTTGAAGCAAAACAACCAAGTCCAGCTTGTCAATCTGTACGAAAAAACAACGCTCTTAACCAAAGCCAAAAAAACACAAAACCAGAAATTATTTCGCTGCGCATAAGGCAACCAAAAAAACGAAAAAGTAAGTTGTCAAAGCTATACAAACACAATTACGGCCGTCATTTGTATTCATTCACACTGATCGTCTCACTTCTTTCCCCGACGACCACGGCCAGTGTTTTCACTTTGATCACCTTTCTTTCCGCCCCGACCTCTTCCCTGGCCCATCTCGTCGTCGTCCGTCCCGTCCACTTCGCCTTCTCCGGCGGCTTCAAGAGCTAACTGACGGCGCGACTCCTCACCCTCCTGTTTGTCGTCCTTGTGCAACCAGACATGGATCAGATGAGCCAGCGGTGGCCATTCTCGTGTCCCGGGATTGACAAGGTTATTGTACTCGTCCTTATAAGCATAAGAAAAAGGAACTTTGTCCATTGGAATTTTACCGGCAAGGTAAAACTTGCGATAGATAGGGTGGAGCCGGAATGCCTCGCACGGATACTGCATACTGTCCGGTTTCTTCTCTCCGGCCAGGTGCCGAACCATGTTGTCGGCGTGGCCGCTCGTGCCTGAAACGTACGGACAGAATGGGCAAGTGAAATACCGGTTCCCGTGGTGTTTATTGCTTCCGTGGTCGGCGTTGTGCTCTTTTTGAGCTTTGGCCAGCTCAGCAATCTGTAAAAAAAAACATGAATTTAAAAAGTCAACATTACGAGCGGGAACGGCTCCGTGGACCGGACCACAGACGCTACCGAGGGGGTCCCCGAGGGGGTTTACGTAAATCGCACCGTGGGCCGGACAACGGACACGACCAAGGGGATCCCCGAGACGGTTTACGGATATCGTACCGTGGGCCGGACCACGGACACTACCGAGGGGGTCCCCGAGGGGGTTTACGGATATCGTACTGTGGGCCGGACCACGGACACTACCGAGGGGGTCCTCGAGGGGGTTTACGGATATCGTACTGTGGGCCGGACCACGGCCGCTACCGAGGGGGTACCCGAGGGGGTCCAGGGAAATCGCTTCATGGACTGGACTACGGACGCTTCTAATGCCAAATAATACTCACCGCAGCATAACCAGTTCCTTCCCGACGGAGATCCACCAGATCTTCGAGTCGGGCTGTTGATTCCTCAAAAAACACTTGATCCGTGCTGATGTCTTCCCAGTCCATTAGACCGTCCGTAAATCTGGCTACTGGGAGTCGCTTTCCGTTGACCTTTATCGTTTTGATGGAGTCCACGGGATACTCACCGTCAGGAGCGCGGGCACATCCCACAAGACGGGTCCGCGACGGTGATCCGTAAGATGGGCCTGCGACGGAAGCCCGAGAATGGACCGAACCGCAATTTGACCTAACAAACAAGGCGTGCACAAAAATTATGGTATCAATATAATCAGACGGATTTTTTATATACTCATTCGCATCCGACGTGCCCCGTGCTTTGCGCGTTCGACTGGCTACAGAGTCCGACGGCGACCGACTGCGCTGCATCGATGGCGGCGGCGACAGATTCATACCAGCCGATTGACCGCGTTCGCTGCGGATGGAACGTGTAGTGGACGTGGCCCTCGGCGAAGACCGGCGATTGCGGCTGCGAGACGGCGCAATTGGTGGCTGCATGGCACCAGCAGCTTGGCTGCGTCGGCTGCCACCTGAACCTGTAGCAGACGTGGCATCTGGCATTAGGCGACGACTGCGGCGGCATGGAGCTGTTGGCGGTGGCTTCATGACGATGACAGGACGGCCGAACGTGCTCGCAGTTGAACCGGCGGCTGACACGGCTGCAGAAGGCGAACGATGGCTTCGACGGTGTGGTGGTGATGGCCGAGGCGAATGATTGACGGTAGCAGCTTGACTGCGCTTGCTCGATACAGAGGCCGCGCTTGACAGAGCTGACGTGGAGGGCTGACGAGAGGTTCCGCGAGACGGGGGCACCAGTGGGATTTGAAGAGGGCCGCGCGCGGCCGAACCCGAGCTCCCGCAAGTAGTAGCTGGCTGATTAAACGATGCAGTCAAAGGGCGTCCCTCCGCGGTAGGATGCGCGATGATAATCATACTTTCCGTCAGTGGTGTTTCTGCCAGAAGTTTTTCATCCGAATGCTCATTGTAGATTTTACCTACAAAGTTATCACAAAAATTGGCATCTTTCATATCTTTTAAGTTACGTTAATTTACCGTCGATCTCCAGAGCTTTTACTGGAACCTTCGCTCTCTTTGAGACTGCGGTACGGATGGAGGCCATCTGGAACAAACACATTCCGTAAATCGCCAATACGCTCAACAACATTCATAAATTCGCAAATTACCGAATTCCCAAGAGCTAGCTCCATTGGAAAGCTCATTCTTCCAGGTGTATGTGGAACGCCAATCTTAACATTCATTTTCCCTGATAGATAAGAAATGAGTTGATTAGAAGTTTTGTACTAATTTAGTAACATAGGATATACCACGCAGGCCGGACGCGGTCGGAAAAGCCAGAACGACACTGTCGTCATCGAGATCCGTCTCCCCGACCACGAACTCTTTCGAATTCTCATTGTATGTCCTGCCTGTAAACAGACAAAGCACAAAACCATATGGAAAACGCATCTGAATGCTTTTTTACGACATCGTGTTCCTTACCGTCGATGTCTATCGATTTAATTGGGATTTTAGCTTGTTCTGAGATCTTATCCCGTAATTCTTCCAACTGCAACAAAATTTATTAAACTTCTTAATTAAGTGAGAACAAACCTAAGAAAAAGCTGTACGTCATACCGAGTCTGACTTATAGGTTTCCACCAACACATTGGTTTTCAGACAAAGCAGACCGACTCGGATTTCCATGACACCTATATCTGAAAAATGGAAAACATTTGCCTTTACATTCAGTCTATGAACGAAATGCAATTACGTTCATAGCTTAATACCACATGTGCCCTGTTTAGGGCAACACACCGATTACCGATGCGTTGATCAGAACTATCGCGACCCACGGAAATAACATCAACAACACGTCGCCTACACGACTGCACAACGCCGTAGTGCCTTCAGTGCCTCACCACGACACACCTGCAACTTCAGACCGCTTACCAAATTCAGCCAAATTGACTGCGACGAAGAACCAGGACGACCAGGTCGATACGAGGAGGCGATTGTGAAGGAGAAGTGCAGTTGCGCTGTCCGCACAGATAACAGCGATGTCACTAAAACAACAGTGCAGAAAATCACGGTGCTGAGACTGCGTCGTCAGTAAACAGAAGAGTACTGCGGTACAAACAAGAACAAACACGTTGCAGCTGTCAGCACTGGTGATTGGAGAACGCAGTTCCACGCAAAGCACACAGCAACACTGCTGTTGTATCAAAATGGGAAAACACTTCCAGCAACACAGCACTGCACTTCAGCTATTTCCACAGAAGATTCTGCTGATAGTAATAATGCAGAAGACAGTATAGAAGAGCAGAATTTTTAAAACCACAAAATCACTACAAACAGCTAATTTACAGACTGTAAATTTTGTCACACGAAGAACCACGCTGAAATCATCAGTGAAGGACCAGTCACACTGTGGAACAATTTAATTTTCAAGATTTCATTATTTACGGCAGTCAATATCGTAACTGCCACCCGCACCCCCCTGTATATGGGCGGTCGCCCATAGACTTTGGTCCGTTTGAATGGGCTACAGTCCTGCATATAAGCACCGTTTCTTATGGGCCGTAGTCCGTAGTGCTGCTGGCAGGAGGTGAACGCATGCGTCTATGGAGAGAGCCAGCTAATGAGCCAAGTCGCTTGATGCGCTTCTCGTCTATCTTTGCTAAAATTTTTAAAATGCATGGTTTAACGGGAAGATAAAAAGCGTCGGTTGGCATGCAGGCACAGCGATAGATAAACATGCATAACTGCATCCTCCTTTTTGCCGAAGCAGTAGCGGCAAGCAGTGACGGAATCAACTAACACTCACAAAGAGCTTGAATGCTTCCATTGATGTCATTGTTAGATCAATCGACACCGACGGGTTGGCTCGGCAGATGGGTGGATGCGATGTCATTAAAAATCCAATATCTACCAATCCATTTTTCTGCCAGTTACGCATGCAAGCATTTTAAAGGTAATCCAAATAGGTAAATCGGCTGATACCTCTGACCGCAAGTCAGTTTTTGTGAAGCTTCTTATGATGCTTATATGCAAACTGAAAGAATGGCTTTTACAGAAACGATTGATGGCATTTACAAAAAGGTTGATGACCTTTACAGAAGTGTTGATGACTTTTTCAGAAAGGTTCAAGACCATTACAGAAAGGTTGATGACCTTTGCAGGAAGGTTGATGACCTTTACAAAAAGGTCGATGACCTTTGCAGAAAGGTTGATGAACTTTCTAGAAGGTTGATAAACTTTGCAGAATGGTTGATGATCTTTAAAGAAAGGTTTGTGACTTCCGACAGACAGGTGGACTACCATAACAACCCTCACTCAAACTAGGAGTGCAATGACGCCCACATTTGAGTCTCCCTTAATATTCCGAACGCAGTAGTGTTCATAATTTTTTAGTTATAAAGCACAAATGTTGGGAAAATGGTTACGGATAAAGTGCGCAAATAGCGGACACGACAACCAAATAAAGACATCGGCGACTTCCGCCTTAAGTTCGAAGTGTTGCGCTCTGATGTGCCAATACCTTATTCGTTACGTCTTTCTATAAGCACAGCTGAACATTTAGCAAAAGACAGTCCCTACAGCATGGCTTCGGCTACTTTGAGCGCATGTTATTATGACGCAAAGTGATTTCATGCGGACGGACTGTCTCCAACTGCACACCATGGCCCCATTTTTAAACAATAGATGCCGAAAAGAAAATGCTAAGAAATAAGAAGTTAATGTTGAGAAAGCTTAGACAGCCAAACAGCAAGCAGAAAGATAAAATTAATAAATATTTTGTTGAGCAGCTGTGAGGATAACTTTCGCCAAAAAGGTGCAAAACTTCTGCAGAATGTTTGATGACCTTCAGGAAAGGTTGATCAGAAAGGGTGATGACCTTTAGAAAAGGTTGATCAGCAAGGTTGATAACCTTCATTGAGCGTCAACCATCAACCCGTCAACCTTCCTGCCGGCTACATGCGGTCACAGTTATCACGCCGCTCGGTTAACACTATGTCGACTATGTTCGTGGTACGTATTTTGCGTCTGCATGGTCATCTACCTTGCCGCCGGCGGTATCCATCGATCACTTCGAAGCCATTGTGTGCGAAAACCGTAATTTTGCGGAACTGATTGGTTTATTTTTTATTTACCACACTAGGTCTGCGTGCTCGATTGCGTTGACAGGCCTAATAATGGCACCCAAAGCGCCAGACGTACTGCTGATCACAGAACCTGCCAATGGTCCTGTGAAAAGTTGGGTACTTTGATATGACTACTACTCCAAAGTGTGAATCATTATTTCTAATGCTCATCGCACACAAATATTTGCCCGTGTTGGTCTAGTCGACATATGTCTTAACCGAACGGCGCAATAATTGTGTCAAACAATGAACTATAATCAGCACAGTAGAATCAGTGGACACAGCCCGCAAAAAGTTTATGACCTTTGCAAAAAGGCTGATGATTTTTGAAGAAATGTTGATGACCTTTAGGAAAGGTTGATGACCTTTAAGAAAGGTTGATGGCCTTTAAGAAAGGTTGATGACCTTTAAGAAAGGTTAATGACTTTTGCAGAAAAGTGGACGGCAGTCACCCGCAACCGCATAGAATTTATTTATAATCGGCTGGAAGTGTTCATTGAAAATGCTTTCACCTTTTCGCCGAAGGTCGGCATGTTAACTTATATATTGTTCACGATTTTTTTAAATATTACTCACCTTTTCTGCGGATCTCTGGTAGAACGGTGCATGAGTTGGTTACCATTCTGCCAAAGGTGATCTACGTTTTACTTAACAGCTTACCATTCTACCGGAGCAATCTTTTTTTGCATAGTTGCTTTGTCTTTCAAATTTCCTTCATCACAGACTGTGATGGTGGGACTAATTCTATAGTACAAGAAAGGAAAAATTGTGATTTCGCTACTACATGCAGCGCTGGGAATACAAAACATGTCCTGTTAAATTACACCAAAGTTAATTAACTGCTCAAAATTCTGAACTTAATTAAAGGTAATAAAGTTTGCAGTCCATTCCGTTCACAACTGTGCTTTAGGCTCACAACCATTTACAGTACATTTGACTACGTTCATTACGTTTTGGTTTCTTTGCTCCGCATTTTTTCTCATGATAAAAATTTTCGAAATGCTTCCGATCCCATAATTTATTCTAATAAGAAAAAAATTATTATGAAACCTAAGCATAACAGTGTACACACTAATGATCTCCAGATTTTACACTCACAGATTTGTTCCAAAGAAGCACTACGATTTGTAAACAAGCAGGTATTGCGGAAAGGAAAAATTGTATTGCGGAAAGGAAAAACTGTAAAATTGGAAACTAAGTAAACAAGCGAAGTTAATTCTGATGGCAACTGGCCAGTAAAAGCGGGTGAATGAAGTGAGAGGTGGTACTGCACGCCGTGAGGTATTAACATAATGGCCAAGCAAAGGTTTTGAAATTTTAAAATTTAACTGAAGGCACTACGAATACTGAAAAATACTGAAAGTACTGAAGAGTACTGGAAGGCATAAGACACAAGATGGTCACTTGCGCGCGGCTGTTTTCTGATATTTACTTCACTACACGTCACTAAGGTTTAATGTATATCTTAGTGCGGGTAAATATTTCAATAGTGATGATTGTTTTCGTAGCGTGCAATACATTATCATGACGAATTTATTGATGACATTACATATTTCTTATGGGAATCATTAAAAATTTTTGACCTGATCTAATCTAATTTTATTACTTAATCATAATATCATGGTGACTGAAATGCAGAAAATGATAGCTTTGCATCACTGGTGAGCTAATCCCTCATTTTGAAAGCCGATATTTGACAGACAAAAGGAAATTCGGTTCGGCGAAAAGTTAGATGACCTTTAGGGAAAGGTTGATGGAAAGGTTGATGGAAAGGTTGATAACCTTTAGAAAAAGGTTGATGACCTTTAGAGAAAGGTTGATGGAAAGGTTGATGACCTCTAAAAAAAGGTTGATGACCTTTAGAGAAAGGTTGATGGAAAGGTTGATGACCTTCATTGAGCGTCAACCATCAACCCGTCAACCTTCCTGCCGGCTACAACCGCACATTGAAATACAATGAGCACAATAGGATCAATGGGCACCGCCGGCAGAAAGGTGGATGACCTTTACAGAAAGGTTGATGACATTTACCTAAAGGTTGATGACCTTTAGAAAAAGGTTGATAACCTTTAGAGAAAGGTTGATGACCTTTATAGAAAAGTTGATTACCTTTGTAGATAGTTGGTGACAAGCCAATATTACATCTGAATTCCCCCATTATATTTTTTCCGTTATCATTGATGTTGTGATTTGACGGTGTTATTCTCTTAAGATAAAGGCTTTGGGCAGGGATACCCTATCCATCGATCAACAACCCTGTGCAATTAATTGAAACCGCCATTGAGGTGCATGGCACTGTACGGAGCACTCAACGGAAGCGCACATCTGACTTCTGGGTTCTTTAAAATTTCGTTTTTTTTCTCTCGCACGATGTGATACGACACCTTTCAAGAAACGGAAATTTGCATTCAAAAATGTTTTCTGTTTTTAAAAATCTATATTTGGTGATTTTTAAATGTTTTTGTATTAAGAGGAGCTTCTGAAGTCGATCACCATAATACGTGCTTGTACGGTATCCGCCATCCCCATACGCTCGCACGTAACTATAATGCATGTTTGCGTGTGATCTGCGATCTTGCCATGCCGATGCGCAGGCTTCTGTATGTGCTGTGGCTGGCAGTAACAACTAGCCGAATAAATTTTCGAACAATAACTAGACGAATTTTAATTAGCAGAATAGTTTTCGAATCAGCTAGCCGAATAAAGCAATCGCAAAGTAGGGCTGTGTTTTTGTCCCGTTACTATTATATGTGCCCTGACCTGTGTCCTTGAGACCGCTGCTTTAAAGAAAACATGATGGCTTTTTGAGAAAGGTAAAAGATTTTCGGCTGAAAGATTGTTGGTCATTAGAAAAGGTTGACGGCCGTCAACCTGGGAAACATAAATACTAAGCTGATCATACTAGTATTTATGTTTCCCATTTGATGACCTTTTTTTGCAAAATCTGAAATGAATCGGTCCATAATGAGACTTTTGGTAACCAGAATGCATTTAAAATTTTTGGAATTTTCTAGCGGTCATAACTCTCGAACCGGATGTGGCATGCACAAACGGTCTTCACGCCTACTACCTATGCATACATATTACATGGCTGCAGAATGCCATAAAACAAAGGAGCTTCGTGATGAGTGTCTAAAACAAGCTGTATTTTCTCCCTTTTCTCTCTCCTCCTCTCTCCGGACATTCTCTCGAGAGAGATTTTCTGCTTGGATAATAAGAATGGTATTTTCTACTTGCACAGATGCATACTTGTGTAGAGTACATAGGTTGATCAATGTGGACTTAATCTGCCGATACTTTCGAATTTATTTTGATCGCGTGACGTATTTATTTTGCGCTTAAGCATAATAAAATGCTCTCTTGGGTAAATTCGTTTCTTTGAATATTTCTAAAACAGATGGTTTACCGGTGGGCGGTTGCAACCGCTTCGAGAGTTTTGTAATGTCTGGATGCGTTGGGAATTTTATACTAAACATTTTTTTTCCTGTAACGTAGTGTCCTTGAATACCCATTTTTATGGTTTTCGCCAACAACATACAATTGCAGATGCACAGAAAGGAACTGCCGTATATGCACTTCTTCGAGAAAACATTATTGACGTTCAAGCGTGCATTTTTTCATTGCGAGGAAAATAGATCTCTGTCGTTAAATAACGCGATTACATGATGAAAAAGCAAATCTACCTCTGTCTCGTTCTCAAATAAAACGGTTATCAGTGGACTTTGTGATCCTTGGGAACCTTGGGTGCTCCTTTCTGAAAGGCGTTGGTCTCCTTCGAGCATTGATAATAGCAGTCCAACTCCCAATAGATGCTCGTTTTTATGCCACTCCTGATGGTGCAGTCATCCACTTGCCAGATGTATTCGCTATAGTTGGCCCATTTCATTACCGGAAGATCACGCCAGAATTCAGGAACATCAAACGCCCAGTCAACGTCCTCGGCTCTGGCACGCGACGGTCCTCCAAGAATGTTCTTCTCAAGGCAGCCGAGGTCCGCTCGTTCCACCAAAATCATGAAGGGATCAGTCAAGCATATCATTTCATCGCCCCAGCGTTTAGTGCAATATTGACCGCCTGCAAAAGAAATATCGAATGTCAACAGCGAACGAGTAAATTATTGTCAATAATGCCAGATTACAGTATGTAGGTGCGCGCCACTTTAAAATCGCAGTTGCCACTTCAAAATCGCATCTTGCATGTAACGCGTATACAGGTTGACGGAGCGGGCAGTAGTATGGAGGTTGGCATAACTCGTAAATATGTACATTTTACTGCATTTTGTTCGTTAGATATTACGGGAAAAGGTTGCAAATGCAAAAACAGGTTTACTTTGGGCTTTAATGTTGACTGCACGGTGTAGGAATTCCGATAATCTGCGTGAACTCGAACTTACTGATATCATAACCCGTTTAAAGCACACCGACACGGAAAACGTTTTAGAAGAACGGATAAAGATGAAATGCCGTTGAATGAAGATATCTGTACATTGGATGATTGGTTAAAGCTGCCATACCATACGGGATCGTTAAAAATTAAAATTAAGGATACAGATTTTAGAAATAACCATCACTCTCCAATTTCCATCTCTGCATAATTACAAGTCAGTGCCAAACTGCCAGTCACCATTAACCAGGGGCTATTCGAGACCCCCATCGACCATGTACTATTTTTTTAAGCCATATCTGACCACGTATTAATGATCAGCGAATTTTCTGATCTAGAAAATGTTTTTAAAAATTGTTTTCGGAACAAAAAAATTCTGACTTTTGGCTTTAAAAAATAGTACATTGTCGATGGGGGTCTCGAAAAGCCCCTGCCATTAACTGATTCCGGCATTCAAAGTAGGTCACGTACTGAGGTATTATGAAGTATTTACGAAAGATTATCTTTCCTGCAGACCTTATGCGACAGATGTTTTCCTTGGATTATGCTCGCCCGTGTGCATAAATAATATTATCTGAATAATAAGGCGGATACTTCTAGATTTATTAAATAGACACTTAAACAGACATTATTAAATGGATGCTTCCGGATTTATTAAATAGGCACATTTATTAAATAAACACTTATTAAATAGACACTTGCCGGAGACGTGGCATTCCGGGCACGGCGTTGTCGTTGTTGTTGTGGTGGTTGTCGTAGTTGTTGTTTTCTTAGTGGGTCCAGCCAAGATTCGCGTCAGTTCAGCCGCAAACTGTAACAGAAACGATTGAGATTTTGTCAAAGCTTCGGGTTTCATTACTCCTGATGGACATATCCATTAGGGTTTGAAATTAATTTTTTCGCGCTTTCTGAAATTGACTATGAATACAATGGTGAAGGCCAATAAGCGAAACTCACCCCGGCTTCTACATACGGATTTGCCGAATTAAAGGTTAATATTGGACTTTGACGCTCGTATCCCACTGGAACATCGGCGAGCAGGCTTTTTTTCATGATAAGTAAAACCAAACAAATTAGGAAATTCATGATGCATAAAAACACTGAACGCCTCTTATATAATATTAATATTACGTGTTTGGCGTTTGCAACCAAACCAAAATAATCAAATAACAAATTGTAGTCTATGTTAATCCGGCTATACTGCAATGGCATTTGAGAACATTTAAATACTGCATGCTTTTCGCGGACTCAGCTTAAACTTGTAGATTCTTGAAGAAATGGTGGTGGTACTAACGTTTCAGCAAATTTGGTACTGGACCACTTGAACAGCATTTCACACAATATCGGGTACGAGGACATTTGGGTGCTGTGAACATACCCTGCACGATTAGGCTGCGATGAACAGCTGGTTAGCCGTAGCTCGCAACGCTACTGATATCACAGTCTGAATGCAAACGGCTATAAATTCAGCCGGCTGTTCATCGCAGCCTAATCGTGCAGGGTATGTTCACAGCACCCGAATGTCCTCGTATTCTCCAAACTGCCGTTTTACAAAGAGCGACCGGCACGTTCTTGCTTGGTCAGCTACCACGAAGAGTCAGGAGTAGGGACAGTTCTCGAGAAAACACTCGTGACAGCACACTTTACCGCGTATACCGCAAATATCGAATTTTTGGATCTCCCGTAATAAGCGCATCCTTTCATGTTGAAAATAAGGGCACACCCACAAAATGACGCCCCACTTCGGAAATAAGCGCACCTGCTCCATGGACATTCGAGTATTTTTTTGCCGCCAGTGCGCAAACTCGGCATTACGATAATCGAACGTGTTTGCTTTTATTTAGCCGCTTATCCTGACTGTACTGAAATCGCCTAATTTGCACAAAATTTGTTCGCTGTAAACGTTGATGTTTCTGACCAAAGACTCGTTTTCTGGCAAGAATATTTGGAAGCAGTCCACAATGGCTGGGTATGCACAGACCAATACAGATGGTGGAAACCCATTTTTTTTGAAACATGGATAGGGCTTTCTTCTATAGAACTGCAACATCCTCCACGAGTTTATCCCCCAAATTTTAGGTGTTGCTATCTGTACTTGGAATTTTTGCTTTTTTTTAATTTCCATTTGTGGAGTAATAACCAAGCGTTAGCATGTTTTCGCCCGAGTGAAGACTGCAGAACGCGGTCTTATTAAAGTGAATGAGTCAGGCGTTCCGAAGGTATATATATAATATAGGGGTTTGTCTGGTGGGTGCAGACTTATCTTGATGAGCCGATGCAGCGAAATTCCTTCTTACGGTCAGGTCATGTGCCCGTTATCACAGTCACGCTGTCGCAGGGCAGCTGCATGCCGGGCTTAACTGGTTGCCGGAATAATTATTATTCATGAACTCCACTGTGTCTGTATGCCTTGAGGGTATACATACACTGTACATACACAGCATGAGCAGTATCGGCGTCGCCAGAAACGCGAGGATATCAGTTGGTTTGTTCTCGCCATTATGCTCACAGCAGAACATTCATTTGTGTGCAATCGAGTCCACTAATGTACAAGCCGTTTCAGCTGTTCTGCTCCCTGGGAAAAGGTGCTTGATATTTGTGTTAGCTTCCCTTGTGCACGGGAGCGGCTTTATCCGGATCTGAATTCTAAATAAATCTTCGGACTCCGGCTGCATTAAATGGAACGAGAAATGCAGCTACTGTTTGCGCTGATGTGTGTTCTTTTAGCATGTCCGGCTTCGAATTCGACAGGTGAGTGAATGCTCGTTGTAGCTGCTGTGCAAAATAGAGCGGAAGGTAAAGTCAAACTATTGTGTCTTGTGTCTTTCCGTATTTAAAATTTGTATAATATTTAATCGAATAATCGAATAATTCATATAATTAATCGAAACAATCGAATATTATCGTTTACGAATCATAGCTCGAAGTGTATCCTTACATTATTGTTTGTAACGAAGCACTAGATTCGGACGGAATTTCCAGTTCCCCCTCGCCCACCATGATTTGGTCCTTCTTCGTTCTAAATTACTCTGGCACATCCACTTTAGTGGGCAGTCTCCACAGCCCTGGTTGGCATCACTTTACGCTTGCACCAGGTGGAAATCCGTTCATTGTGCTGGACCCGCAAACGGCAGACGTGACACTGACCAGTGGCTATTGTCCACCCAGCAGCCCCACACGGGAACTGGTCGGTGCTCAAGGCCGCGATGTGGCTGGAAACGTCAAGCAAGGAAACGTGTCCCTCGTAATTTTCTCCTCGCCGGCGTACTTTCCATTGTGCCAGAGTAATCCTGTCCAGCCGCCGACTACTCCGACCCCATCTCCTTCCCAACCGGCTACATCACTGCCGGATTCCGATGCTGTTGCCGGGGATGCTTCGTTTAGGTAAGTTAATCTTTAGGAAAATAGTTTTTGCCAAACAGAATTCAAAACCAAAATTTTGGAAATTATTAAGAGATTCTCAGTTTTGATCCTCTACAACAGCTAATATATTATTAATTACATATTCATTACATTTTTGTGCTCCATTTGTAGCGTAAACCAATGTCACACAGGGTCCGGCGTTCCTGCAGTGGTAGGATCATTCAGAGCGAAATTCAGCCCTAACGTGGATTTGTCGAAACTGCGAATGACAATTTCGAACAGGTAACATTAAAATTATCGATTTCAAGTTTTTCCTAGCAAGTAGTGTAAGACAACACACATACTACAAGCGGCGCTTAAATACATCGGCATTATAGCCTTTTCCAACCTGCACTTCCGGTGGTCTGCGATCCAGATCTCCTGTGCAACATTACACTAGTTTCCACCCGACCACTGGACACTAGTATGCAAGGACTGTATGTCATGACAGTCAATTACGAAGGAGGTGGTCTTTCGACGACATCGCAACAGTTGGTGGTTTCTGTGCAATGCGACTCGCTGCAATTCAGTCAAACTCTGCCCCCGCCAACGGTCGCCAGCAAACCAACGATGGCGGTTCCAGAACTTCCACCGTGTAGTAGGGCATCAGTTTCCCTTGGTGTTAACGAAGATACACCTGTCGGTACCGTAGTAACCAGTCTGCCGTCCATCGTACGTTGCCCATTAATTTCTTAGCAAATCTTTGGTAGTTATGAAAAAACGTATTTTAAACCATAAAGTACAGCACTGATCTTAAAATAAATTGCAATTTAAAGCTAATTGCCATGTCGGATAATTTTTTACAGCCATCGCCCGGCTTCCGATTCCAAATCCTTGACGCGTCTGCTGCTGGCTATTTTAACATATCACACCAGTAATGTATTTTATTAGGATATGTACTAATACGGTAAACTAAACGAATTACACTCAACCGTTTTTGCATTTTAGGGGATCCGTAGCTGTTGCCAGACCGTTGTCGGAACCAACTATTGGTTCGGTCTATTTGCGCGTTGCCGGGCTAGTCAAAAATCGATCTGTAAGGATTTATCGATATTTACAGTATTTCACTAACTTGCGAGATATTCCGGCTACGTAAATAATTTGATTTGGTGACTGACAGGTGTGCGCTACAGATATTCTCATTACTATAAGGAGAGTCAGCTCACGAATGCCAGAATTTAATCAAGTGTCATACAGTTTTGCCGCTGACTGCAATAATCCCTCGATCCCCATTGGAACTGTTACTGTAAGTGCAAATGTAATGCGGAAATAGTCTAATGCGTAATAATTTTCTTCTCAAGGGTCATGTAAAGTGTTTTAACGAACAACTGATATATGAGCAGGCCTTGGATTCAGATCGTGGAGCAACTGCAAATCGCCGGTTTTTTCTTAACCCGGAAGATACAGCGTAAGGCAATCCTCGGAGGTGTTTGCTTGTATTGCTCTCTACTGTACCTTTTGTCATTGAAATACCTACTAAGGATTTATTTTCTACAGTACGAGTATTGCTATCGTTGATCCGGTTAGTGGCACTCTTTGGTTAAGGAGCATACTGCACCAGTCAACAACGTTATTGGTAAGCGGTTTAGGTCCAGAACTCCACTCCAGAACTGCTTTTCTCAACACTGTGGTGCACAAACTCCTACTGTAAAACGACATGCGCTTCTGCAGGTGTTTGTTGAAAACCCCGGCACAAATCTGACAAGCTCTGCATTCGTGCACATCAGCTGTACAGACGATAACTCTATAGTCCGGATTGGAGGACTGCGCGGAAAAGGTGCATCACATCCGACCCCGACGACCCAAAGACCGAAAATGCCGTCGCCTAAAGTTGTTCCACAAGCGCAAGTTGCTGTGTCCTCTATTCAGTCTGCTTCGTATCCCTTAACAGTGGCAATAAGACAGTCATAAGTTGCTACATCCGATTTTGCTATAGCAGGTCCTGAATGTTTATCAAAAAATGGGAAATAGCTTTTATCAGCATGTAAAACGGGCAGAATATTGGAACAGATAGACCAGTTATGTATAAAAGCGTGTGTAGCGTAGTTGGATAAACGGGTCCCTATTTCCTTACATTCTATTAGAACTAGGAGGATAGAAACACCAGAAACCCAGACTACGGGCCAGATTCTCTTTAATTCAAGACCGAAATCCAAGAAAGCCAGAGAATGACCTCATCACATTAGTCGTCGCTGCGCTTAAATAGCCTAAACTGGGCAATCTGTACTACTCGTACGTCTCATACAACTGCACTCGTACATACGTAAGCGGCACCGCCGCTACACTTGCTAGATATGAGCACCTTCGAGAGTCGAGGCCGCATCCCATAAAATATCGAGGAATTTAAAAGTTTAAATCTTGCACCAGGCAAGTGAGCCGGAGCTGTCAATCTGCTTTCAAACTGCACAAGTAGAAATGTTTTCTCTTCACTGCGCCAAGAGTTTACGTTCCGGAGGATGTAATTGAAATCTGATGGCGCAAATGATTACAGTAATAGACCTACGCTTAGCAAAGTACAGCCACAACTGGCCCACAAGTAATTTTATTATTTCTATACAGCATACCGGCCCTCGATTCCCGGCCAAAATGTTTACCATTAATTTACACCCTGTCCACGGCAAGTTGGCGGCTTCCATTTAAAAAATTCCCATGAACCATTGGCCCATGAATTTAACTTTATTAAACTTTTATGTGATTACTGAATCTATCTAACACCTCCTGCGTTTAAGGTTTCTAAGATATGAGCTTGTTACGAATTCCAGGAATTTCAAAACTGGAGGAGACCACTTTGAAAATGCGCTGCAGTTCAGCTACCAAGGTTCAGCTCCTCCCACATAAAATTCGTTTTAAATTTCCGTTTAGGCCGTAGTCAAAAAATACCAAATTTTTTGACTTAACCATTTAGTAGCCCTTCGGAACGCACTCATCACTACCGACTTCAAGTTCTTCCTGGGTCAGGGCAGCGGTATAACGGTGGGCGTGGTCCAAATGTAGGACGACCTCCTTCGAGAGGTCACCTTGCAATTGTGGGAAGTATTTTTCGACTGTTCGCAGCAAAGTACAATCCACAAAGAACTAGGCGACAAGTTTTCTATCACCATCCAGATCGAAGGCTCGCCATATTGATAACAATCAAATTCCCGCGGCCGCCCTCGTTTTTTTCAGCAAGCGCTTTGTACGGGAGAAAAAGCGATTCTGTTCGCCAAGGCTTTCTGCAGGTTTGGTTTTTGTTCACGAAGTGCTCTCTAGGGGGTCATCGAACTGACCTTAGCTTCAATCGCCTAAAGTCGTTCCTGAATTTCTAGCCTAATTAAATTCTTTTCCAACACTGCCATTACTCATTCCCTCGGTGCCTTTGTTTCGTAAGGTATTTCTCGCGACACCACACTCCAAAACCGATTGAGTTTCTATGTGCCGAATGCGCAAAAGGAAACTACACCAGAAACTATAAAAAGATCTGGGAAACATGCGCGACACGACCCGGGAACAAGTCAGAATGCCATGCCGCCAACTTGGCGTGTTCAGGGTGTAAAATAGTAGTGTACATGTGCACTACTTATAATCCATGATTGTGCCCTTTTTGCCTTTAAGGCAAGTAGACGACACAAATATTGACTGTGTCGCAGAATACTGGTGTAAGCTGTTGAATGCTGTTTTACGGTAATCTGAATCACTACCGGGTAGTGTCCGAATGGTTTAACCTACTTCGCTCACTTACAAGCCTGTTCATTCGAATTCAGCCCACTAGACTGCAGTTAATGTTTTATGGTTGATCAGGTTCTTTTAGCATGTTGTGCCGCGCAGTTGTTAGGTAATCGTAACTTTGACTATCCAGCAACTTTGACCATCCCATCAAGGGACTTATCGCGAGTGCTTTCTTATTTCAGGTCACAACATTGAGCGAAAGACTAAAAACGGAATGCGTCAAACAAGAGCGAAATTCCGAGCAGGAATGGGCGTCCGAATCCATCCTTCCAGAACGTTTTTCCGCCTCGACAGAATGACTATGGACGAGTGCATCATGTTGCCCTGTCCAGCAGTTTTTGAGTGAAGACGGCCAAAATCGGTCTTAGTGTGTGAGTCAGTATGATCCAACATAACGATAAGTAGAAATATTTTTGGTTTTACGAGGTGGGTGCAAAACCGTCTCGACTAGACGATGCAGTGTAATTATTTCCAAACTCATATGTTAATAATTACAGTTAGACTGTTGCAAGGAATGCAGCTGCATACCGGTCTAAAATCGCTTACTGAATAAATATTCATGGAACAGACAGGGTCTGTAATATTATGACTTGAGGGCATCCATACACGGTACGAGCATTGTCGCAAATCACGCGAGAATATCAGTAGATTTTTGTCTCACCACTGTGCATGACACAACATTTGTTTCGTCTGACTGTGCGATCAAGTCAGCTACGAGCAGTTTCCACAGTTCCGCTCTTTGGCTAAGTGAACCACGTGCACTAGCGGTGCCATATATCTATTACGGGTAGTAATTTTATGCGCTGGAGAGTTTCTTCTGGACCAAAATCGTAAACCTTCGGGTTCCTACTGCATCAAATGCAACAAGGATTACAGCGAGCAAAGCGAATTTTTGCGCCGATGTGCGCTCTTTTCGTTTGTTCCACTTTTAAACTGGCAGGTACTTGATTCAATGCTATATTGTGCTGAATATTGCGCAAATGAGTCGCACAGAATAAACTTCAGTTGAAATGTTTAGAGGAACTTCTTTTTTTATTTGTTTATCCTGCTCACTGGTTTCAATGCCAGCGATTTCAGTTTATAATGGGTCACTGCTACCGTTTTAAAGCTCTTAATGATTAATTCTGGGCTCATGTTCGTCTGTGCATGGATAGAAGTATCATGTATGAATTAATTTTCTAAAATTTAGCTAGTTTTTGCACAAGGAACGTGTACCATCAATTGATAGACCGAACTACCATTAGCATCAAACTGATTGCCGGGCATGTGGTAGGACACGCTGTCAACCGCCAAGGGAAGCCAGTGTTAGTGCGAAATCTGTAAAACAGCCGTTATCCGCTAGTTTGATGCTAGATTAGTTTTATTGTTTTCATATACGTACATTGTACATATTTCTGGGCGCTTTTAGTTTAATTTGTTGATTTCAGTATGTAGAGTTTGCTGTATAGAAAAATAATTCTTTCGGTTTTATCGCGCTTAAATCGCTTTCGATTTTGCAGTAACCTGGCCATGGTGCACGAGCACGGCCACAGTTAACAAATGATGATAAGGGTTGCTCGCTCTATCAATTAAAGATACACGTGTTCCTCGTATCGAGCGATCTCGTTTATGAACTGTAACGCAACACTAATCCTCACATTATGGTAGATTACGAAACAATAGTTACGGACGGCATGCTCAGTTCCACCCCAGTGTGGTCATGGTTCGTTCCAAATTACTCTGGCACATTCACCTTAGTCGGGAATCTGAATAAGACCGGCTGGGGTGAGGTTGTGCTCACACCAAATGGAAATCCGTTCATTATGCTGGACCCGCGAACGGGAGACGTAATACTGGCCAGTGGCTACTGTCCACGCAACACGGTAACCTGGGAATTCGCCCGTGTTCAAGGCCGCGATGTGCCTGACCACGAGGGAATGCAGGGAATTTTGGCCATTGGCATCTATTCCCCACCGGAGTACGTTAATTCCTGTCAGGGCAAGAGTTTCCAGCCGCCGACTGCCCTGCCTTTGCATCTGCATGAACCGGTTGCATCATGGCCGCCACGGCCCACTTCGTCACTGTCTGACCCGAACTCCCTTCATGCGGGCACTCCTGATGTCTCCTTTAAGTATGCTCTCCGTTAGCCAGAATAAAATAAAAAAATAAATTACGTAGAAACCACAGTTTTAAAACAGAGGAGCTTTTTAGTTTTTGATCCCCAGCAGTAGTCGTATACTCTAATAACTTTCCAATAAATTTTTTGGTTAATTTGTAGCGTAGACGCATGTCCAGGGTCCAGTGTCCCTATAGTGGTAGGATCTTTCCCAGTGAAATTCAGTCCTTACGTGGATTTTACGAAACTGCGAATGACAATTACAAGCAGGTAACACTAAGTTTCAACGATCTACACTTTTCCTTTACAATTATTGCAAGCAAGAACTTATTGTACGAGTACACATCAAAAGTGGCGCAGAAATACTTTACGGTATGTCTGCATTCTGTAACATGCATTGCAGACATTTTCTACCGGTGTTTCCGGTAGTCTGCAATCCGGATTTCCAGTGCAACATCACAATTGTTTTCTCTCGACCAATAGACCAATTTCTCATAGGAAAGCATATAATGACAGCAATTTACGAATGTGATGGCCTGTCGACGGCAAAGCAACTGCTGATGGTGTATTTTAACTGCCACACGTGGACACCTAAAACAGTGCCACCCCCCACGGTCGCTAGCGATCCGCCTCTGCTTGTACCAGAACTCCCGCCATGCAGTGCGGCATCGATTCCCATTGACGTTAACGAAGATACACCTGTCGGTACCGTGGTAACCAGCCTGCCGTCCATTGTACGTTGCTCTAAAACTTCCAGCAAAGCGTTTTTTGACTATGAAAAATGCAACATTATTTCCATAGGACATAGTCTGCTCCATCACAGTAACAGGAAACGTTTTTCCAATTGTAAAATAAATCTCTTACAGAGCGCCACAGATACGTAAATCATTCATAATCGCAAAAGTGTTAAAACAGGTAACAAAACCGAGGTCAGTTTTGTTGCAGCCTTCGCCTGGCTTCCGGTTCCAAATCATCGACGCGTCTGCCACCGGCTATTTCAACATTTCAGACCAGTTATTTATTGCAACAGTGAAATCTGAAATTAGCGATAGTAAACGGTTTCTGCATTTTTAAGGGGTGCCATATCTGTTGCCCGTCCGCTGTCGGAACCAACCGTTGATTCAGTTTACTTGCGAGCTGCCGGACAGGTCGACGATCAGTCGGTAAGGAAACTTTCAAGAAAAACTACAGCAACCGTATTTTGGAAGCTGTTTGTTGAGTACATCTACTATTTAGGTGATTTGGTTTTTTTGCTGACAGGTGTGCGGTACAGATGTTTTCATTGGCATAAAAAACGTGAACTTACGAAAACCAGAATTCGATCAAGTGTCATACAGTTTTAATGTTGACTGCAATCAACCCTCGAATCCCGTTGGGACGGTTAGCGTAAGTGCGACAACAATCTGAAAATGTCGACGCAAGTGTTGCACAAAATCACTGTCAAAATTTGAGCAGGCTTCTGATTCCGATCGTGGGCGAAACAATATTCGGCGATTTTTTCTCAAGCCAGAAGATACAGCGTAAGACTTTCTTGGCCCGCGCTCAAGCTCGGACTTGGACTCGAACTTGGATTTCTGAAACTTGGACTTGGACTTCACTTGGACTCTAAAACTTAGACTCTCAAACTCGGACTTCACTTGGACTTGGACTCGGCATTCACTTAAACTGGACATGGACTTTACTTGAACTTTAAAACATGGGCTTTATGACTTTTAAGTTTCTTCATGTTTTCTTAGGTTTCTCAGGTTTCTTAGTGTTTTTAGGTTTCTTAGGTTTCTTAAGTATTCCTAGGTATTCTTAGGTTTTTATGTTATTCTTAGGTTTCTTTGGTTTCTTAGATTTCTTAGGTATTCTTAGGCTTCTTACCTTTTTCAGGTTTCTTAGGTTTCCCAGAATACCAAAGAATACTAGATAAACTCAGCAATCTTAGAAACCTCAGAAATCCAAGAAACCTAAGAAACGTAAGAAACCTTAGCTACCTAAGAAACCTGAGAAACCTAAGAAACCTAAGAAACCTGAGAAACACGAGAAACCTAAGAAAACATGAAGAAACGTAAGAAGACATAAGAAACATAAGAAACGCCTAAATCCAAGTCAAAGTCATGAAGTCCAAGTTTTAGCGTCCAAGTAAAGTCCAAGTTCAATTTTACGTGAAGTCCGAGTCCAAGTCCAAGTGAAGTCCTAATTTAAGAGTCCAAATTTTAGAGTCCAAGTGAAGTCCAAGTCCAAGTTTTAGTAGTCCAAGTCCGAGTCCAAGTCCGAGCTTTAGCGCGGGCCGACTATCTTGTATTGCTGTTTGCTGTATTTTTTTACCGTTTGTCAATAAATTATCTTGAAAAGATTCATTTTATACAGGATTGCCACCGTTGATCCAGCTAGCGGCATTCTTCGGTTAAGGAGCAAAGTGCGCGAATCAACAACATTGTTGGTGAGTGGGCCCGTCTCTGTCTAGTTTCTGCGCTCTCTGGTGCAAAACCTCGGACTGCGCATCTGCAGGTGTTTGTCGACAACCCCGGTACAAATCTAACGAGTTCTGCAATCGTGCACATCAACTGCACTGGTGATAACTCCTTACTCCAGCTGGGAGGACTGAGTGGAAGGGGTGCGCAGCGGCCGACCACTACGACCCAAAACTCGAGCCCGGGAAGCGCAACGCCATCGTCTAAAGTTGATTCGCGAGCGTATCCGGCTTTTTTCTTTAACCCGCCCGTTTCGCATCCCTTTACGGTGTTGATTAAGCGTTCTTAATTAGGAGTTGACCAACAGATTAATCTAACACCAGAAAAATTAGCAACAGCTGTCAATCTCTAATAAAATCTCAGGAGCAACAGTAAGTTGTCTATTAAAAAAATATGTTCCTAATAAGTCGTAAGAGTTAGTATTCGGAAAATCTCAGCCTGAATTCACGCCAGATAATTTTGGAATCGGAATTTTCCTTCTATAACATGATGCTACAGTTTGATGTATTGCACAATCATCTGCATACGTCAGAGCTTCTGCACTTCTTTATCCATATAAAACAACTATCATTAATCGGCTGCTGACTTTTAACTCCATGTCTTAACCTCAAACTGAAAAAAGCGTTATTGATTTGTTGAAAAAAATGTTACTAACAGTCGTATTTGTCCACAACCGTTATTTCTGTTTAGCTAAAATGTAATTTTGAGCCTTGGCACGATGCCGGTAAGAGAACTACGCTAGTCAAATTATGTTATGGGTAGACAAAAATCATTTCTTCATCAATGTTTCCGAGAAAAAAAGCTGCTATTTCCGCTTAAAATACGAACGTGCGTTATTTCGTGCAGAACGCAACAATATAACTGCGCTGATTATTATTACAAGGACCAAAGTACTGCATTAAATTTAGGGAAGCCACAATTGATTAAGCTGAACACCGGTACGACACTTTTTTACAATAACAGTCGGTGCAATTGCATCGTTTACATAGTAAGTACTGTAGTATATTAGTGGCAAATCAACCGGCATTTATGCAGACTATCAGACAAACACATAATTATAACGAAACATCAGGCCAGTTCTAAGATCCCTGTTTGAATGACTCAAAGATGCGGAATCTGCATGCTCTGTATCCCTGGAGAGTATACCTGGAGGGCACATTTTGACGGTAAGAATATCACAATCTGCTGTCGCAGAATATTGCTGGAAGAAATTTCTCTTTCGTACAAACTGCAAAACGGTCGTTCTTGGTTCTTTTCAGTGCTGCCAAATTGTGTAGTTTCTGATGCTTAACATAAGCTGCTGCAACAAAAATAAATGATATGACCAGCGTTTCTGTATGCTCTGAAGCGAACCATGGATGTCAATGGGGTCGTAAACTACAATATATGACTGCAAAAAACAGCTTCGGCTTAGCCGCCGCTTTTGTGTGGTTGACGGTCGCAGATCAAATTCTAACTGAATCACTAGGTGTCCGTTAATTGCGCGGCGAAAATAGTCGTGTTGATTGTTTGGGTTATTTCCTTGAATTTTAAATTCGGTTAAGGTTCTGTTTAAGGTACTCGTACAAATTATATATTATTGGAGATACTGCAAAGTGCAAACTGGTAAAGTTAAGTTAAGTTTAATCGTTTCACGACCGCACACAATCTGGGTAAGACCCAATCCGAGGCAGCAGACTCGTCATAAAAAAAATTAAACTGAAAAAATCGAACAACGATAAGCAAACAAACTAAATAAGCGTTCATATTTCCAAAAACTTCACATGATCAGTATGGTAAAACTTCTTAAGTGACTTCACTGTGCTCCAGTTAACATTATAAATGCCGCTTTAAATTTAGTCAGACTCCCATAATCTTCTGCCGGTATGCGTTAATCGTTCCATATCCTTGCCATCCGATAGGCGAAAGATTTATCCGAAGGTGGAAGTGCTTGACCGCAAAACGTTGATCCGGTAGAGACTATCGGGCATGGATGTTCATCCATCCTCTGTCGATGACGCGTCACACTTGCAACACCACAATGCGCAATGACATCCTTGCGGAATAATTTTTCTCCGTACGGAATAAGGTTTAACGAAAGTTTGTAAGTCAGTTGCAAATTTTGTTTGAGATTTCGCCGCACGATCGGTTCCCATTCAAGTTCTTTTAGCCTGCTTTGGTAATTACTCGGTTGACCTTTGACAGGAAGCCATCTAACAAATCTTTTCTGACATTTTTGATAGTATCAATCAATCCTATTTGAGCTGGAAATGTTACGGATGCACAGTAGTCCGAGACGGGAAAAACTACGCTTCTATATAATATGCAACGTGCCGATTGTTCTTTCGCGTGGCTTCGCAGCTTCTTGAAAACCCATTCGTATCTCACGGCCAAGAAGAATTTGACAGAGATTTTTGTTGTAGAAAATTATGTTTAACAGCCTGTATATGGCCTCGTTACCTGGAATCCTGAATTTCTTAGTGTCGATTGTCAACGTGATCTAACCCCGACAAATTTTTTAACCGGTACGGGATTTTCTTACAATACTGGATGCTACATCCTGACATGCTGATTTCACTTAACAAAACGAACCGGTATTTTCCTCTTACCCGCGTATACAATATCCTAAAATTAACATCTCGTCGCAAAAAAATAAAGAAAACGCGGCCACTTGCAGTTAACCGCAATAATTCTGAGCTTTACCGGAGCAAAGCTGCTTATGCCATGCAGTGTTGTAGCAAAAAGGTTTTACTAGAGCTAACCCTGCTAAATTGCTAATACATTTATCAGACGATCGACTAGTCAGATGACTGTATCAAGACTATATGGTGACGTCCTGTCACATTCGGAGACTGTGACTTATAAAGCATGATGGTACGGACAAGCATTCAGGTAGAAGAACTAGACAATCGGCACAGCAGACTTGCTAGAGGGAATCATGCTGTAGTTATGACTCATGCTAATACTTCACAATGTCACTATACAGCGTCAAGAAAACAATTAAATTGCTACCAAAATTTCCTTTATGACTGTATTATGCAGTTCTTAATGCGTCGCGTTTCGCTGTAAAAACGGGTAAAGTGCCTTGGAATGCATTAATTACGCTATCGGACCGCCGATGCAGTCGTAATAATTACTACATTATTATTATTATAATAAATTACATTTCCTATATACGGTACATGCACAGACACTAAATAAATACGTACACGGAAGTTGCCAGTTAGTCATTACGCACAGAATTATGGTTATGTACTCTTGATGTACCGGTATCCGGAACAACTGGAAAATCCAAAAGGCAGAAAAGACTTTCGCAGAACCTTCATATGCATTTGGAACGAAATCACATGCCCGGGTGATACACAGTCAGCAGTATTACGACATCATGCCGATTTCAGTTTAAGCTGGGGATCATTGGAAGTACTCAGCATATTTTTAACGCGGTTTTATGTCTCGGGGCATTCTCTAAGCCTACTCAGTGGATGGCAAGAATATTATCGGTGCCGTACTGTACATTGCAGTAAATGTTTTCTCTTTTGTGCTGACTGCAAATGCGAACGTTTTTCTTCCAAGTGCGCACTTGGAACAGTAGATATAGTAATATTCTATACAGCGTCACTCGCTGACAAAATAATGGTATAATATAATACCACTCGTATCATTAAGTACAGTACATTCTCAGCAACATTTTTTTATAAACTGAGCCGAAATCAAACTCGACATTTTTGAAACGTTATCCATTCGTCTGCTGCAAAGTAAAATGCAGCGGAACTTCGCTCTTGCTTTTGGTGGAATTTTTTTGGCGTGATTCCCATAGTATTTATCAGGTAATCGAATGTATTAAATTTATTACCATAAATCAATATAGCACTCAAATTAACCCCTTTTATATTAGGATTTCTACGGTAAAACAAAAATGTTGTTATATTATTGTAGCTCAGAAAGATAGTCTCGAAATGGAATGCACTACTCAAGAGCAAACGAACGGTCAGCCAGTTGCCATCACACCCGAACCGTACCTCTCAGGTGGAGGGTTCCGCTTAGACCGACTAACCGCGGAGGAATGCATGCAGTATGTTATGCTGCGTGATTATTAATGTAGCCCTGTCCATTCTCTCGAACTATCCTACTGCACCGCCCCGGCCACCACGGAATACGATCTTTTCGAAACGTATGTTGAGCTGGGATGCGACGAAAGTCACAGGGCGGCCGAAGTTGCTCGCAACATAAGCCGCATAAGTCCTCGACGCGCTGTCGTCGTTTCCCTTAACGACGGCAACGGCACAACAGACACACTGCAAACCAGCGTCGTGAACCCATACGCCAGCAGATAATCAGCTTGAGCGTAGGCAGTGGTGCCACGCCCTACACCACGGCCAAAATTTACCACCTTGGCGACCTGATAAATCTACTATATTTGCAAATCGACCATTGCTCCGGACTGGTCGTCCGCAAGCAGGATTTCCAGCAAATGCCGCGCGTACGGCAAATTGTATCTCGTTTGTCGAGTATACAGTTTCTGGAGCCGTACACGTTTACAGCGTTAGCGCATCTGCGCAGCTTGGTGCTGGAGAGCTATGTCAGCGCTCATATGGTGCATCAGGGCGAGCTGAAAAAGATAAATGATGGCGAACCGCATTTTCCGTCTAACTGGAAATATTATAAGTTGGAGGATGTATACCGTCTGCACTGCGACTGCTCCTTCGCGTGGCTTCGTAATTTTTTCAAGACTCATTCGTATCTCACAGCCGAGAAAGATCGAGGAGAAGTTTTCATTGTTGGTAGTTACGCGTCGGATGTTGTAGATGGTCGCGCCACGGGGTATCCAGAATTCCTTAGTGTCGATTGTGAACGTGACCTAACACCGACTAATTTTCTAGCCGGTAGTGAGTTTTCCTAAAATACGGGCTGCTACAGTCGCACATGCTGATTACGCTGGTCAGATATCTCCACTGCGGTAACGCACGATTTTAGGAAGCTTATTCTCTTTCCGTTCTTACTGCTTCTCGGTTTGATAACAATGCTGAATACTTTTGAAATCCAAGTGATTTTGTGTTTATACAGCCGCAAAGCGCACTTTTGTTAGGTGCTACATACATACTTTATTGCAGTGCATAAGACGGCAAAATTAGTTTGCTGAGAAATGGCAGTAAATAATGATCTCCAGAAATAATCCAATTGCATGGGGAAATAATAGTACTGGGTGTTTCTTTCCTTACCAGAATTGTGCGTTGATTATTAATAAAAAGGGATCCAATTGCCCATCCATTTTACCATTAAAATTTGGGCCAGCCTGGCTGGATTCGCGATTTGAAAGAATGGTGATACGAGTAACTGAATAATTTTTATACAGAACTGCTTTCTACCCGGTTGTGATAGAGGAGCTGTGAATACAGAAAACGCTTAGACTGGTCA